CCTTGGGGCTCTGCTCCAGTGGCCTTTAAATTTCCATCCCATGTCATTCTTTAAAGGAAAACGGGGTTTTTGTCACAGCTAATTTGAGAGAACGGCTGGGCGTAGAAACTTGGTACAGGGTTGTCCTAAGAATGGTCTTGGTCTGTAGATGAGCCATCAAAAGAGAAACTGGGTAAATTCCCTTGGGGCTCCGCCCCAGAGGCTTTTAAAGTTCCCTCAGCAGATTTGTTTACATTACGGCCATATGGATAATTTTACACTACTTTTAATGAACCAGCTGTTATGAGAATTTACTGAATCTGTCAAAATGAAATGTTTACATTATTATTTATGATTTTAAAATTGATTTTCCACTGCATGGCAAGTTTTTTATAGTTTGAATAAAATGATGAATTTATGATAGGTACGTTTTAATTTTTGTTTCAAAAATCTATGTTTTAATGCACTTATAAAATGTTGTATTATGAAATCACTGGGACATTATCATAATTTCAAAGGAACAGATAATTATTCCTTATTGGGTTAGCTTATATTTATTGTAGGGGTTGGTGCTTGCCTTTTTTGGTCTACTTTCAATAACCATTTATAATTAACCATTACATTCAAGAAAGATTGTCAGAGGTTTGTGAGATTATTAGCATAAAAGTTTTTGATAATCAGGTAGAAAATTGTGTCATAGAATAAAAGCCATGCAAGTGTAGATGAGTACGTTGAGGATGTGAGCTGTGTTCAAGTTTTTACCACGGAGTATGTTTAATCTATGGTTTTGGTGAAGTAGGTGAATTGAAGGCAATTCAGGCATTAATTAAATAAAACAGTGCCATCACATCTCATCTCTTTTGCATAATGTGTTGCCAACAAAGCCGGACTAGGTTATGGATGTGGTTCCGCAAATGTTTAAGATTTGTGTCCAAATTCACTACAATTATGGTCCATTCCATTCACAAAATACATGCGCACAACTTTATGTGATCCATACGGCCAAGGCAATTGACCCTCGCATATCAATAAAGTTCAAGTTTGACAGCAACTTCATGGCACAATTTCACAAAACTATGCCAGAAGTTAATCAATTAGCGAATAAGTACATTTAGATTAAAAACATTGGCCGATGTGGCAAGAGAAGGAATCAAAATTGTTTGGACCCACATCGAAGTAAGAATGTTACTGGTTTCTGGAAAATCAGATATTTTTATAAAATAAAAAAAAACAGATTTAATATGGCTCTCGCTGATAAAATTCTGTATTTTTATGACTAAAGATGGTGATTCACTTATACAATCCAAATACAATCTGAATGATTCTCCTAAAGCAGATGGAACCAGTTATTTTAGAAATATTGACTCTTTCCGTCAGGTGATAGACCAATTATATGAACTCCTTTCCCCATGTAGTGAAAGAGGTTTTAACATGAACAAAAGTCATGAAAAGAAACAATTAATTGTAAGACTCCTGCAAAGCCTTTTGGGTAACCTAAAGCTGATGAAAGGATGGAAAATATTGATTTCAACGAATTCATTAACCACGTTTTTTAAGGTACACAATCCTCTTACTCATTATTATGTTAATCCTCCCTTCATTTTACTAAGATTTTAGTAACTTCACTCTATCCATCGTAGTTAGCTGAATTTACCTAAAAACTCAAGAGTAACTGTCGATTTCAACGGGATTCACCTTAATAAAGAGAAAATCAAGAATAACATTTTTCCCAAAATCCCTTTGTTAACCAGATATCTGCCATTTTGTATTTTTTACATAAACATTTTTATCTTCTAATGTTTTCAACCAATCTTTATGAAACTTGGTATGTAGGTTAAGGTAAAAGAGACCCATGTTAGAAAAATATTTAATCTTGATTCAACCAAAAATTTTAAAATGGCGGCCATTTAAAACTTTTAAACTTAAATTGCTAAAGAATGGCTGATTTTATGAACAAATGTCAAGGACACTTTTATTTAGCATTTTTAATTATACGCTACCTATCAAACGATACCAAGATCAAAAAGATCGAATAAGAAATAGCTGAAATATTACAATTTTAAGTTGTAAAATGGGGTAGAATAAGGCAGAAGCTAGTCAGGTTTGCCCCATTTTACAATTAAAAATTGTAATATTTCAGCTATTTCTTATTCAATCTTTTTGAACTTGGTAACGTTTGATAGGTACCTAATTAAAAATCTACAAGTATAAAAGTGGATGTTTGTATATATAACTTATTTGGGCATTGATAAACTCAGACACCGCTGAACCGATTGCCACGAAACTTGGTACATACGTGTAGAATGTCATGGAATAGGTTTATACACCATCAATTTCATGATCCGTCCAATCGGCTCCGCCCCAGTGGCTCTGGATTTTCCCATGTTAACCTTATGAGAAATGGAATTAATGAATCTTAACAGCTGTTTCAATTAAACAAGTTGGTTCTGTTTTATGATGTTCAATAGCATTAAAGTTACAACTACAAGGATTACCAACAGGGTGAAGCACTATTATTTCTTTTACATTTATGACAACAGCTAATTTGCAACCAAAAGGTGAGTGATCATAGCGAACGAACTTCAACCTGGAGGCGAGTTAGCGTAGTGAACGAGCTAACCTGAAGGCAAGTGAGCGTAGTGAACAAGCTCCAACCTAAAGGTGAGTGAGCGTAGCGAACGAACTTCAACCAGGACGTGATTGAGCCATGGGAACGAGATCATCTTGAAAATTAAGAAGTTAAACAGGGCAAAGCCCGCGGGTTACAGCTAGTGCTAAATAAAAGTGTTCTTGACATTTTTTCTTAAAATCAGCCATTCTTTAGTAATTTAAGTTTACAAGTTTTAAATGGCCACCATTATAAATTTTAGGTTGAAGAATCAAAATGAAATATTTTTCTAACACGGTCTCTTTTACCTTAACCTTCATACCAAGTTTCATAAAGATCGGTTGAAAACATTAGAAGATAAATACAACAATTTTCATTTTCTCCATAAAAATAACATGGGAATTTTAAATTACACTATTTTTGAATTTTCTCTGTGACCGTTAGGCATACAACAGCACTTATTTCTTTTTTTAAGCTCTACAAAAGAGTATAAAAAGAAATTGCAAAATCTTTTGTTTTAGGGAAAAAATGGGAAAACCCCATTTTCACCCCATAAACCCCTGTTCCCATGGTCCGATTATGCTGGATCGAGAACTCGTTCGAATAAACGTAGGTTTACGGTTGTACCAAATTTCATCAAAATCGGATAATTTTTGCTCGAGTTATTGCGCTAACGGACAAAGGCCTATATATATAAATACATATAGGCTATATATGAATTTGAACGGATGGTGTTTTTGGCCTCTAGGGATGTCAAAATGAAAAATTAAATCGGTCCCGGGTCCAGGTCTTACCATGAGTACTACGGTAATAGCTACTTCCCTATAGGGATATTCGCTAAAACGTTTATGTACAAAATACAAAATGGCGGATATCTGGTTAACAAAGCAATTTTGGAAAAAATGTTATTCTTGATTTTCTCTTTATTTTGACCCAAGGAATCACTAGGTAAAATATGTCCCCACCTTTTTTGAACACCCTGTATATATATACAGGTATTCCCGTGTAGCAAGGGAAAAAAATTTGACCTTGGTATGCGTAAAACAGGTGCGGAGTGATAGGCCGCTATTGTAACTCATACGCCTGACGCCAGTGGCCAGTACAACATTTACGGCGCAACAGAAGGTACAGATTGTAATCTGTAGTTCGCAGAGTTTATATCCATTGCTAAATTAAACTAAATTTAAATCTACTTGATGAGAAACTTGAAGCCGGTTTAATGAGTTTCGTGGCACCGAAATGTTTTGAAAAGACATTCACCTGGTCGGCTAAAAAAAGCGATGACATAGTCGAAGAAATCCGACAATTCTGCATCAGAAGCCCGAAAAAAACTATTGCCCGACGAAGTCTTCAGTTTAACGAACCTAAATTGGTCACTTTATGATGTTATCTATAAAATATAGAGTCTTTGTGCCGAAAAAGATTCAGTTAAAACATCAGATAAACCTGCCGATCGCCCTACGCGTGCAGACTTTGCACGTTTTACGCTCATATAAGATTGATTAAAATTTGAATTTTAATCAATCATTCCAAAATGTATGAAAGAATGATAAAAAAACTTTATTCTTTTCCCTTCAATTTGACGTTTAAATCGTTTAATTATCTTGAATAGTTCCCGAGCAACGACCGTTTTAAATCCTGGCATTCTTTTAAAAACACCCTGTATATACATATATAAACGAATGGTGTTTTGGCCTCTGGGGACATCAAAATGAAAAAGTAAATTCGTCCCGGGCCTAGGTCTTACCGTGCCACCTACGGTAATAGCTACTTCCCTATTAGGAAATTCGCTAAAAGTAAAAATCTAAAAAAATGTTGGTTAACATAATATGGGGTTTTTGCAATAAACAATTCAAATTACCTGCTGTCATATAGGTACAAACATAAAATCATAGAACCAACTTGTTTAAAGCTATTAAGATTAATTTATTCCTTTTAAATATGAATTCTCATAAGACTATTTAACGAGAAACTCCAGAGCCACTGGGGCGGAGCCCAAAGTCCTCCAGAATAAAAACTACTTAGTATTCTATTTAATGCCTATAGAATCAGTGTACCAAATTTCATCCTCGTAGGAAAATGGGAAGTAGGAGTAGTGATTAGTGAGTCAGTCAGTGAGGGCTTTGCATTTTATGGGTAGGTAGGTATAGATTTTGATCAAACTTGGAAAATGTCTTTATTTTGAACCAAGCTATGCCTATTAATATTTCACTTAAAACAGACTCTTTACCACCCTCCGTAGCAGCAAACCTAGGTACCCACTCGTTAAACCTAATGTTACTGAGACCAACCATGCCTACAGGAATCCTACAATCACCCTGCATGTGCAGATACATTTAAAAGAGATTTCTACTCTTATTAACAATCTAAATGCCATTCAAACTGGGACTGCAGGATGAAATAAAAGCCCAAATTAGAGTACTAAGTAACTGACTATGTATTTACAAGAAAGTTTGTCTCAACATGACAATCAAGTTTGACTTAAAATAGGTACCTACGAATGGTAAATCAATCTGGATTTTTAAGTTGGGATAATTTTGTATTGGCCTTGGTATGAATTTTAAAACATTAAAATTCTCACAATGTTTATGCCAAGGGTTCTCAAACTTTACTAAAACTGTGTAACTGTTGGTTAAGCAGGTATTTTTACAAAATTAAACATTACAAATTCACTCTTTTTGAACTAACGAGCAGAATGTTTGCAAAGTTTATAATATAGGTAAGCCTATTGTATAATTTCCAGTTTCAACTAAATTGTGGAACATAAAAATCTAGGCCTATCTAACAACTAACTTAAATAGGTAGGTATGATGCTACAAATAAATACATACTGGAATTTGTTCGAGTTTTAATTTAGGGCCTATAGTTTTAATTTTCAATAATATGCCCCTAAATAACAAATGAATCCAAACAGTTTCTACAAAAATATTTCAGTCGCATCATCAGATAGGCCTACTTATATGTCATGGCTTGAATCCAATTCACCTAAACTAGCTACTGTACTGTAAATGTGCTTTTGCTGATTTAAGTTAGGCCTTATATTTATTTAAGTTATTCTCAAGGTAAATTATAATTATGAATCCGAAAATTGATAAAGGTTATTGACCGTGTGTTCCTATTGGTTGTCTTCCAATTTGGAAATGAAATGGCAATTTGGCAAAACTAAAAAGGCAGTGTATAAGTTACTCACAAAATCTAATTCCAGCACTAGGTCATTAAGGATTTCACATTTTTCTCACACCAATCTTGAATACTTATGTTCGCAAAAGGTTTTTGATCATTAGCTTTTAACACCAAGTTGAAAGGTATAGGCCTTGCTCGTTCGGTTGTTTGGAATAATCTTTTCAGTGCATCTCTAGCAGCCATATCTCTTGCTACAGCAATGCTTTCCCCAAATCCCATGCCAATAAATTCTTTGTCACTAAACAAACCGATTTGATACGCAGCCAATATCGTTCCTTTACCAGCATCTCCAATAATTCTTGGTTCTGCTTCACATCTTCCATCTCGCTGTAAAATTGAAGCTAAAACAGTCTCTGGCTCATTGATTTCCCAAAGTTCATTGATATCTTTGTCTGAGAGATAAGTAATAATGAAGTCCCTTATGAATGCACAGGCTCTTTCTTCACCAGAACTCAGTTCCAGAGCATGGATGATAGCTTTCAAAACATTAGCCAACGAGTTCACTGACGGGGGATGGTCTGATGTTAATATTATATCAGTTGTGCCGATGTGTCTCGATATTTCGGCCAAAACGGCATCACTCAATAAATAGTCCGTGATTGAGCAAATCCCTTCCTCAGGATACTTGGGATACACAGTTCTTAAATATCTTTTTATAAAATTCTTGATCAAAGATTCTCCTTTGAGAACGAACTCTGTATTATCCTTTAACATAATCTTGGGTTCCTCAATGCCAACTTTCTTCTGTTTTTCTTCTTCCATAATAATATAAGATCGCTCCACAAAGGCTCGCTGCAATAGCTCCTTGTTAAAATTTTCATTTAACCTCTTACCAAAGCCAAATAGTTCAGCATTGTAGTTCCACTCAGGATATGTATTCCTCGGTTGAGGAGGAAGAGGTCCCATATTGTCTTTTACCATTTGTTCTTTCCTTTTTTTGAATACTGCCTTAACTGCACGTACATACCTTTTGTGGCCTCGATTTATCTGTAGTTGTGGACTTGTAACTTTTAGAGAAGCAATCACACCTGGTCCAGAATTGGCTGAAAAAAGTGAATTAGTACACCTGGATAAAACATGGGTCCTGGTAGTTGAAATACTTGAGAAGAACTTCATTGCAAGCGCCATAGTTTTCCAAAAACTTTTAAGTAGGCCTACACGTCAGAAGATTGTCATTTAACTCGAATTAATGTAGATATGAACAGAGGTCAAGTGGTCTGACTCTGACTAGACAGTTCCTCGCGCCCTCGCAACTCTCAATCTCAATTAGTTTATTAATCGAAATGGAAATCTAAAAGCAATAGTCTAGTTAGCCTAGTAGCGTATCTCATAAAACATGAACTCATGAACATAACATAAAACATAACCTCCAACTCCAACGATACAATAGAGAATAGACAATTAGACAAAGAACTCAAGAAGAAGAAAAACAAAAACAAAACATTCAACATTTCTTTCAACAAATGGCTAACTATTATTAAAACCATGCAGCTCCAACATGATGTGATTGCTTCATTTGAGCGTAGATTAAATATTAAGGAGAGTTAAAATTAAGTGACCGTGGTTAAGGTTCTGGAGCCGAAAAAAATGAGACTCATTCCAATAAATTACACTTTCTTTATATAACACACAATTATAGTTCCATTGGTGGTAAAATTTAACCTTTGACTATTTTGAGTGATACATTGTAAAAAAATACTTAAAATATCTAACAGTATGTTTTAGCGAATTTCCCTATAGGGAAGTAGCCATCACCGTAGGTGGCATGGACAGAGCTAGGCCCGAGATCGATTTACTTTTTTCATTTTGATGTCACCAGAGGGAAAAACACTCATCGTCCAAATTGTTTTGTATAAACAGGATGTTTTTTCCTACTTCTTTATTTATAGAAAAACTGCAATCGATAAAAGTATGCAGTTTGTGGGAATCATCTAGTGACAGAGGGGCCACAATTTTTGAGTATGTAATGCGAATGGGCAAACGCACGGCCGCCTTTAACTCCAGGCCGCGGCCTTCGAAGTGGCAACGTCGCGAGTGGTGTTGTAACAGCTGTTTTGTTTGGAAGCAGCTAATGGTATTTTTTGTGTATTTATGAAAGATTGGTTAATGGTCTATGACAACATCGACTCCACTTAAAATGTACAGATATAGATTTTTAATTCTTATTGTTTCGGTTTTCAATTCTGTATGTATTATTTTCAACATTTTAATAAATTAAATAAATGTATTTAAACATTTATTAAACCTAATATTTAACCATTTTAATAAATGTATGTTCATAAGTTTAAATTTTAATCGATAAAGTGCAAATTAATGAGCTGATGTCACCTGTCTGCTATGTTGTCTTATGGGACGTCTGTCACTAATTACAACACAACTTGCGATTTTGCCAATTTTACCAGGCCGCGGCCTGTAGTGAAAGCCGGCCGTGGCATACGGGAGGGACGATGGCTAAGGGTGTGGTGACGTCATATCTCTAGTGGCTAATGTCTTCTCTTGAGGCAACACGATTACCGTAACGAGACAATGTGTTTCCAGCGGCGTTCGTGGCATAGTGGATAGCGTTTCGGACTGGTGCTTAGGAGTTATCCAGTTCGAAACCAGCCGGGGACGCTATCTTTTTGCCAAGACTACTTCTTAACTGTACATCTTTTGTTAGAATTTGATGCATTTATCAGGACTTTTTATGTTTAATAGTAAACCTTTATTCGATTTTTATCTTATACCTTTTTTTATTATCAGCAAGTTTGGTTGGTTAGGTTAGGTTATGACAGTAATTTAATTTTCTAATTAAATTTTTTTAAATTAATTTTAAAAATAAAAATTTATTTTATAATTAAAAAGTTAATTTTATAACTAAAAATTATGAAAGTAATTTCAATTTTTTAAACTTAGCTGTTTTAGCAGAGAACGCTGACACTACAAGATATGTTAGCCATCGTTCCTCCCGTGTGCCCCACCGGTATTTAATGTGAAGTTCCCATTCGCCCCTTTTCTCACCCTACCCATAACATTTTTAAACTGCAAGACACCCCTCATTATCATATCAAAGATATCAAATGTGAGGGCATGAAAAAAGAAAAAAAAGAATGACAGAAACTAGAGATCTCTACGTCAATCCTATCCAAATTTATGGCAGTTTAAAATTTGAATTTTCAACCCCTTTTTTTAAGAAAAACACGTGTAGCTAAAAAACGGTAAGAGCTAGTAAAGATTTGAGATTATAAGCTATAATATAGTGTATAATTTTTATATTTCAAACTCTATGGATTTATCTTATTATACTTTGTAGAAACTACTTGAGAGAAAAAAAATCCAGCTGACACGAAAACGAAGACCATACAGAGAAAGAAACGTCAACATTGACTTGACTGTCAAGTCAAACAGACCACAACCAAATCGAAAATCCAGAAGGACAACAATAACATGGATGCGTGTGTCTTTGTAATGCTATCAAGTTTTGGCAGTTCATCGAAAAGTTCATCCGTTATTCGATATTCCGACCGTGAATTTTGGCGCTGAAATAAAATTGGGCTAAAATGGTAAATTTAGACTATTTAAAAAAGTATAGTACTTAAATAAGAGCCATGTCTGTGTAATTACTGTGGACCTAGTAGCATGACCTAGAGGTAGGGTTTAGGTTTTACAACATAGCCTAATTCAATGTATTAATTGCGACAATATAAACTAGTAAGTTAGTCTAAGAGAACGTGATGAAGGATTAACTTTACTACTCTTCTTAGCCTACAAGAAAAACAAATATGTGTTGAAACCCTAGCCAAAACAAGTAGGCTTAGGCCTAGGCCCAATGAGTTACCGGTACCCAATATCTGAGAAGTTCAAATTCATATTCCTTTATACTCTTCAATTAAACATAATTAGGCCTAAACATAATCAAACATAGCCTAATTACTTAAGTAGTGATGCGCGATGTCAAAATATGTTACAATATAAATGTTTTGATTGTTTGAACCGCTCGACACGTTTCGATTGTATTTTTGCATAGCTAGAGGTTCTTACCGAGAGGTTTTTAACAAAATATTTGTGACGATTGTTTCGTTTCAGCACGGCATGAGCATAAAATTTGTCTCGTATAATTCTTAAGGAGAACCGAGAAATCCTTACCGAGAGACTTTTTAACGAGATTTCATGGCGATTGTTTCGTTAAGTAAGGCATTGACAATTAGCATCCTTTTTCTATTGTATCTGCCGAAAATTTACCCTCAACGAGAAGGTCTTTCTTATTTCAAAAACCTTACACGAGGAAGGTTTATGAATAGGTATACTTTATCAAAGGAAACTATATATTTAATACGCTAGGCATATTTTTGTCATATGTAATTGTTTTGGAGTGGTGGTGCTACCGATCACCATGTTCAAGGTGTCGTTAGAAAGGTCTTGGCATGTAGTTTTGCAATCAAACAAAAAAAACTTTGGAATTCCATCAGGGCTCTGCCCCACTGGCCTTCAAAGTTCCATTGTTATTCTTAGGGAGAAAATGTTTGTTTATATTTGAACAGATGAATACTTTCAAATTGACACTAATATTTGAAACAGATGGTTATATTAAAATTTTTCACAAAATCAAAACATAACCAAAAAACGTTCAACATAATGGAGACTATAAGACGTTGACCAGGACGGCCAATAGGAGGAGGCCGACGAACTTTAACTGGTTGACACGAACGAAATACATACTATTGTCGTTGATAGCCGAACACAGCAAGCACCCTTCCGTGCTGGCTTTAAGTGTGCTCTCCAACAGTCACCAGAAGATTTCACATTCAATTTAGGACTGATGGATACTAATTGCTGTGCATAAGCTGTTGATTTTGGATGACAAGGAGGAGGGTAGGACTAATTTGTAAACAGAAGAGAGGAGATGAGTGGCAAATGCGTTGGGAGCAGAGTGTTCTATGTTAACGTTTTAAAGGTAAACATCCGTATTTATACCTAACATCAGAAAGAGACTGGAACAAGATTGGGAGATGGGCCATTATGAAACGCAGTTTGTCACAGGACATTGAAAATTTCAAGGCGATTTTGTGAAGATTTCACCAGGTGGAAGAGGAAGTATGTAGATGCGGAGAAATAAAAACAACGAGTCACGTATTTATAAATTGCTCACTTCAGGAGACAAATAGGTGAGAACAGGAATATGTCTTGGATAAGATAGACATAGAGATGAGAAAATAAAACATGATGAGTGACAAGGAAGCAATTGAGACGTTTACAAAAGTAGCTAGAGAAATAGGAAAAGACAAAGGATACATACAGGTATTAAAATTTAAAAAAGAAACAATCAAAAACTTAGAAAGAAAGGGTACGAAAACTTGCCCATGAAGGGGAGAAGAAAGGTTAGAGCGAATCTCAATGATCCCTCGCTCAGGGCGGTATGGGGAAGGGAGTCGTGCTGGCTTTTGGACACACAATGTGTCTGGAAACCCAATGCAGCTATGAGTAAGGCTATTTTTGTAGAAAACACTATTTACAATAAATGTTGATTATATTGATCTATTAAGTACATCTTTAGTATTTCCATAATCTTTGAGTCGAATATTTTAAAGTCATCAGATGCTCGAATTCAAGCAACAGGTTCACAAGTATAGAGAAAATTTTGTTAGAATCATGTATAGCCTAATAACCTCTGGATCTTCCCATCATTATTATCTTGAGAACTTGAAGAGTTGCCAAAAAATATCGTCACATTCACAGTCACTCTCATGACCAATAGTCACATCAGGATGTCAAATGTCACCACCACCTTCAGAAATCTGGTCGTCATCACTGATATTGTTATACAATTCCTTATACTGTCACTCTCAGTGACTTATTAAGATTGAGGATTTAAAGAATTATGGTGGATTGTTTCACAGTACCTAGTACCTACTCATAATAAACACCAGCATTGACTGATTGATTTAGCCTTACCAAGTTTTTATTTATTATTTCCAGAATGCCAAATCAAGTGGAAGCGGGGATGGGGCAGGAGTGGGCGACGAGGGGGATGATCAGGAAGACCCTTCTTCTTTGTCATCATCTCAAGTAAGATACAGCTGAGTTCTCTTAACCCATTGGTATGCTGAAATCGCACTGCTTAATAACCCATAGGAAATATTTTTTTCTGCTCTTTTAGTGACCTAACAAAAATCACCGTAACTTATCTATTTATTATTATTTTGTCTTAAAACTATTATCTTTCTGCACTAAAAGATTGGAAGACATTTTGCAACTATCTATACCGGTCTATTACACTTGATCGTTTCAAAACGACAGTCATGGCATTTTGATACAAAACATAACCTCATACTTTCATTTGTAACTAATATTTTAGTTTTCCAACATAAATTAAACAACCAAAGAAACTAAAAATACACACCATAACTATTGCAGATAGACAGAAACAAGTTATTGACCCATCAAGTGCTGTGATCCCTTATAATAATGTGTCCAACTAGTAGGAATGTCCAAGGACGGAACAGTTCCGTCTGTCAATGCCAAAGCGCATTAGAGGCAAGACGTCGAACTATGTAAGTGGGTTAAGTATATGCAATCATACCTTATCAAATGTACCTCTCTTGTTTGGAATATGGAGTATCTTAGAACACATTTAGAATGTTTACATACAAACATTACATTATATTAATAGCCTACCCCTAGCTACTTCGGCCTGCAGACCTATTTTAGCACCCTTTAAATCATTCTGACAGCCCTAGGCTTCTCAAGTAGCCCAGGAGCTGAAAGACACCCAGCTTCCTTATCTCTGTTGGTTCCAGAAATAACCTCCCCAGAGATGTAAGCCTTCTTTGGGCCAACGCTGGACAGTCCAGCCATAAGTGTTCTGAGGTTTCTACCTCGTTCTCGCAGAACCTGCAGAGGTCTGTCTGTGACCTACCTATGGTCCTGAGATGTTTCCTGATAGGACCGTGCCCTGTTAACACTCCTACTAGTAGACTAATGTCCCCTTTCTTAAGGCTCAGCAAGCCTTTCCAACTTTTATCAGTGGGGTCAATTAGTAATTTAGACGTCCTCATTCCTGGGTAGTTCCTCCAGGCCAAAGCCTTTTGAGCCTTGACCCAGTCTTGGACTTTGGCTACTCCTGAGCTTATGGGGGTACCACAGTAGGGTTCTGGTCCTCCTGACAGTTGGCCTTCCGCACCCTTCCTGGCCAATGCATCGGCTTTTTCGTTCCCCTCATGCCCCGAATGTCCAAGGACCCAACAAGACAGTTTGACTTGGTTCCGCTCTGCTAACATTTTGAGGGGGTTTTTGCACTCTTTTACTGTTCGTGACTGTGTCACACATGACCCCAGTACCTTCAATGCTGCCTGGCTGTCAGAGAGAATAAGGATTTTCCCCTTTCTTAGATTCTTGCCAGGAATATTATTAGCACAGCACTCAATCGCCAGGACCTCTGATTGAAATACTGTTGTTGTTCTGCAAAGGCCAGGGATAGGTTGGTTTTGTTACCATACACTCTCAACCCTGATCTCTCATCCTTCCGACTTCCATCGGTGTAATAAACCAAGCATGCTCTGTCAAAGTTGAAGTTACACTGTTGCCAGTTATCTCTTCCTCCTATAGCAACTTGGTAAGGAATCTCAAAGTCGTATTCCTTTGTCATGAGGTCTGGTATACTTAGTTCCATGTCCATGCTTGGGAAGTCCCTTAGGATGGACAGGTGACCAGACTGCCTCTGTAGGTTCAGCTCGCCTCTGCTTCCCATTTTTAGGGCAGATATAGCTGCACATTTCTTGACTTCCAGCCCTAGTGGGAGCATGTCGAGTATTGCCTCCATTGCAGCTGTGGGGCAGGATTTCATGGTCCCACAGATCCCCGAACACGCTAGCCTTTACAGCTGCTGCAGTTTCCTGCCAGCTGCTGTCTGCTCTGCCTTAGGCCACCATACTAAGGCTGCATATGTAACCATTGGTTTGACTATGGCTTCATAAGTCCAATGTATAAGTTTGGGACTCAGTCCCCATTTCTTGCCAAAGGTTCTGCAGGCACCAAAAGCTCCTGTTCCTTTTGCAAGTACATAGTCAAAATGCCTGCTCCAGGTCAGTTTCTGGTCCAGGTAAACTTCAAGGTATTTTGTTTCCTTCACAAGTTTCACTCTTTTCCCCTGAATTTTCCCCTAAAATAGTGAGTCCCCTGTCGCTTCACAGGTTCGTCTACCTTGTAATAAAAACAGGATGAAATTAATATATTTAAATTCTGTGTTAACTGCTGTTTAATCCCTATAAATATATTTATTTTGTGGCAATGGGTAGTTTTGTATAAAGGAAAATATAAAAAAGGTTGCTCTATGTAAGCATGGAAAAGGAAGTAAGCGAGGATTTTTTAAATTTGTTGGTCAGATACAGATAAAAACTTTCAGCGAGAAATGTGTAGATAATTAAATGCTCTTCAGTTTTTGTTAAAAAAATTGTTTTGTAAGACTTTTAGTTTGTCCAATAATTGTCTTAAATGTTCACCGCGAGGTCTAGATGAACTAGTTTTCTAGTTCTAGTTTTCTTCCAGCGCATAGTTTTCCAGCAATTGCCGTCTTTCAACTACAACTTAAGTCTTTACTCCGGAACTTAAGTTAGCTAAAGATGAAATAATACTATTAAGCCGAGAAATTAGGGTAAATAAGGATAAGTTTTTAATAAAAAAGCTAAAAGACCTGAAAATAAGCTACGCAGCCCAATTAAATAGTACTAAACGACATTATATCGAAAGCAATATAAGAAATGCCAGTAATGTCTCAAAAACTACTTGGAATATTATTAATAGGGAACTAAACAGAAACCGAGTTCGTGAAAATGAAATCCAATTAAAAATTTGTAACTTTGAATACACTGAACCTGATGATATATGTGAAATATTTAATGATCATTTTGTAAGTTTGGTAGATAGGATTGGGGACTTGTCTTCGGGAGCTCTTGGTGCAATCTCAAATCCTGCAAATTCAGTAAAATTTTATTTAAAGCCTGTTGATGAAGCTGAAGTAGACAAGATTCTTTCTTCTTTTGAAAACAAGTTTACCTGTGGTTTTGATGAAATTCCTATGCCTGTTTTAAAAAGTGCTAAAGATGTTTTAGCTAAACCATTGGCTCATTTAATCAACTCTTCTTTCATTTCAGGAATATTTCCAAGTAAATTAAAAATCTCTAAAATTAAAACATTACATAAATCTGGTAGCAATAAGGACCCTTCTAATTACAGACCATTATCTATTTTGCCATGCTTATCAAAAATCTATGAGCGTGCCATGCATTCACGATTAATGAATTTCTTAGAAAATAATAGCTTATTTGATACTGAGCAACATGGATTCAGGCCCGGTAAATCTGTTGTCACTGCAACAATTGATTTGATAGAAACTATAATTGATGCTATTGATAAGGGTGAGAGCACTGTCGGGGTGTTTATGGATATTAGTAAAGCCTTTGATAGTGTCTGCCATTCAACATTAATTTCAATTTAAAAAAATTTTGGTTTTGCTAACAATGCTTTAAATTGGTTTCAATCTTACCTTGAAAACAGATTACAATATGTGGAAATTAATCATATAAATAATTTCAACCAATTAAGAAATGTAAAATCCTCTTTGAGGTGTATCAAATATGGTGTACCTCAAGGTTCGATTCTTGGTCCCATTTTATTTCTTTGTTATATTAAAGGTCTGCCAACAGCATTAACAGATAATATGGCAAAATTGTGTCTATATGCTGATGATGCAAATTTGTTGGTTTCTGGTAAATGTTTTAATAAAATACAAGAGTCGGCCCAAAACAATCTGTTATCTATAAAAAACTACTTAAACTTCAATAAATTATTTCTCAATTTTAATAAAACCAATTTTATGTCATTCAGTACAGCACAAAAGAAAAATCCAGAATTCTGTATTAAAGTAAATGATCTCCAAATTACTCAGGTAAAGGTAACAAAATTTTTGGGTTTATTGCTTGATGAAAATTTATCATGGTCACTCCATACGGATAAATTGTTACATAAAATTTCCTCGGGTTTATTTGCCTTAAGAAATCTGTCAAAATTTTGTTCCCTTGAGATATTGCTTAAGGTTTACCATGCACATATCAACTCACACATTACATTTGGTATTGAGTTATATGGAGCTACAAGTAATCAAAATTTACAAAGTATTCTAATCCTTCAAAAAAGGGCAATAAGAATCATGTTAAATCTGGATGATGAAGAATCGGCCAAAAAATATTTTCCTAAATTAAAAATTCTAACCGTTTACAGCTCATATATATTGCACACTATTATGCATGTGAGGGCTTCTGAAGACAAGGTGCCACTGCTGGGGGATAATCATAGATATAATACTAGGCATAAAAATTATCCATCCGTAACACAACACAAACTGGAGTTTTATAACAAGAAACCAACAGCTGCAGGTATTAGGTTTTTGTACCATCTACCAAAAGAAATATTTGATATAAAAAACATTAGGTCTTTTAAAAAAAAACTTAAACTGTTACTAATTGATAGAGCATTTTACTCATTTGAAGAGTTTTACAACATGTAATTACATTAATGAAATTTTCCTGTTTTATTTAGTTTAACAAAGTATTTTTAATTAGTAATAAGCTGTTTTGACGCCATTCTGTATTTATGCATATATTTCATGTAGGTATATAATGTATAAATCTTGAATAAAGCTTTTCTGATTCTGATTCTGATACAATAGGGCAGAAATATTAGTTCACGCTTTGAAATTGCTAAATGATTAAAACTATTTAGTATTAACTGCTTCAGCTGGATGTACGAAGTTTTGACATAATTATATGCACATAACATTCATGGTGCATAACGCAAGCAAGTCTTCATGTCTGTTATGTCTAAGACAGATTAAAATGCACTGGTTTATCCAAAAGCACCCAACCTCTTCATTCCCCTCCCATCTCTACCCACTCTAGCATTCAGATCTCCCATTAAGATGTTCACACTCTTTTTTAATGTTCTTCTAACTCAACTTCAAAATCCTCTTTTTCTTGATCTGTATGTACATCCCATTTGTGGTACATATACTTGCATTATCCCCAACTGTTCTGCGGTATTTTTTTTAGGATGTCTTCATCCTAATTGACATTCTAATCATTCTATCTGATACATGCTTCACCTCTTCAATCCTTTCTTTGATTTCTTTATTCTCTATTAAAGCAGCACAATACCTTTATCTCCTATTTCTACTCCAAAAAGGCTTATACCCATCAAGTAGTTCCTGTTCACCATGTCCTCTCCACTTCATTTCACTTAGACCTAGCACATCTAATTTCCTTTCCTTCATCATATCGATTAATTCTTCTACTTTATTCGACTATATAAGTATATTTAATGTTACAAATCTTAGCCTTTGAATGTTCCGTTTATTCCATTCTTCCGAGACCTATTTTTGTTTCTGAAAGTAATTTGAAAATCAACTGTTGGCTTTCTGGGCCTAACACAGCTTCACCAGCTGCCCATTTTGTTTCCTAATCAGGTCGTTGCTCGCATCTTATGACGTGGACGTGGTTGGTCTTAAAGAGGCAGAATGTTGTTTACAAACGTGCAAATATCCCTTCTTGCCTGGATTAAGTACGGTACATCATTGAATATGATCACATCCTTTTATCCCAGAGAAAACTTTATTTCCTAATAATACTTAGTGTAACTGTTGCTCGAATTCGAGCAATTGCAAAGCATTACAGGCGACTTAAAGATTATGGAAACACTCACGATCTACACAACAGTTAGATATAGGCCTAATCAAAATCTTTTGTAAATATCTTATCTTTTTTCAAAACGCTTATCTTGTTTTTTTAGTGTAAAAAAAACATTATTTCTATTTCTTCTACTTGGTTGTGTTCTATGACTTTTTCTATGTTTCCATTGTTTGCAAATCGGTTGTTTCAATGATTGCTCAAGAAATGTAGCACAGTGTTAATTCAGTTTTATTTTTAGCCTATATCAAATTGTCCAGGATTTCCATTGTAATAATTACACCAACCCAAGTTTCGTCTACAGATGCAATATGCCAAAGAATATCACCTACGTACAATCTCCAATAAGTGGTAAAAACGGCAGAAACCAACCAATACAATAGATATAAGTTAACTCCATAAGAAATAATTTCAAAAGTTACTGTGATATTAGGATTTTCCACTGATTTGGTAATAGAACATTATATTGCAAAACATGATACGATGCAGAAGAAAATCAATTTTAAAATCAGAAAAATCCAGTTCATTTTGACAAATTCAATAAATCACAATTTAAATATTAACAGCTGTTGCATTAGAAAGTAGTGTAGAATTATGCATATGGTCGTAATGTAAACAAATCTGAAGAGGCAACTTTAAAGGCTTCTGGGACAGAGCCCCAAGGGTATTTACCTCTTTCCTCTTTTAATGGCTCATCTACAGACCAAGACCTTTCTTTAGAAACCCCTACCAAGTTTCTACGCCCAGCCGTTCTTTCAAATTAGCTGTGATAAAAACCCAGTTTTCCTCCATAAGAATAACATGGGATGGGAATTTAAAGGCCATGGGGGCAGAGCCCCAAGGGAATTCACCATGTTTCTCTTTTGATGGCTCATCTTCAGACCAAGACCTTTCTTTAGACACCCCTACCGAGTTTCTACGCCCAGTCGTTCTCTCAAAATAGCTGTGACAAAGAAAAACAGTTTCAAATTAATATATAGATCATAAATAATTTAGTCTTTACCGCTTCAACATAGATTGATTTGTTCACTTGTTGTCCTCTGTAGCAAGTGCAAAATCAACAATTTATCTCTGATTTTTTTGTACCTTTGTGTCAGAGACCAACCAAAGGTGATGAGTTAGATGACTTTCGAGCCAAGTGGAAGAAAGAACTTGAGTCTGCACCAGTCTCTCGCAATGCAACAGCCCCCACTACACCGGTGAAAGAGTTCCCGGAGAGTCGTGAAGAAAATGAGGAAGAAAAGGTTAGTTTTATAATGAACCACATCAGTATAGTTATAGAGAGGAATTATCCTACCTGTAAGGGCCCTTTCACACGAGGCCACTGGTGGCGGCCACCGGTGTCCGCCACCAGTTACCGGCCGGGAAACTGCAGTGGATGATACAGGCAACTTACAAGCCACTCCACTACAGCCACTGTACAATGGCAGTTGCTGTGAGAATGTTGTCGAACAATGAACATCTCCTTCTCGCGTTGATAATAAAGAAAATAAGGCAAAGACACAGTCGTACTATACCAAATTGCCGGTTACTTTTCAATTTCGCAAATTAGATCTTCAGTATCCACTTTGTCTTATATTATTTTGTTTATTCTCTTATTCTGTTGTTTTCCTTTGTCTTTTTCTTTTTCAGCAACGTCCTCTTTATTTTTCTTCCGATCACTCATTTTTACAAACAAACAATTCAACACGAAAACACTCAACAACTACCATAGTCGTTGCAGTATGCACGTGAACTGATTCAAAATAGTAGCTGCGTGCTCATCCACGGTGGCGGCCACTGGTTGCTACGTGTGAAAGCTCCCATTTAATTCAATGCCCCGCGACGAGTTGCCGCCACTGCAGTTGCCGGCGGTTGCCGACTAGCAGTTGCGCGAGGAGACACTGCTCGGCCACAGTGTAGTGGCGGGCAACTACAGTGGCTGCGTGTGAAAGGTCCCATTTTAAATAATGTTAAAGCTGTGGCGGGCAACCAGTGGCGGCCACCGGTGGCGGCCACCAGTGGCCTCGTGTGAAAGGGCCCTAAGGTGTTACTATAGTTTAATAGACCAATCCAAAGAAATACCTAGCTTTAGAATGGGTGTCCTTCATGTGAAATTCCTGATGTGTTTATCTTATTTTAATAATATTCTTATGTATATATAATAATATAACTTATTGGAATTAGGGCTACTATATGTATATATACAGGGTGTCTCACGAGAGGTGTCTCAAATCGATTACGGAAAAACGGCTTAACGTACAAGGATGAAATAAAGTTATTTCCCGCTAAATCGACCCCAAGGAATAACGTAAAAATATTTTTAACTTTTTCCCAATACAGGGTGTGCCAAAAACTGAGGGTCACTAGTTCGAATCTCGGAATTTTCAAATGTAAACATATGTCATGTTATACATCATTTTAAAGGTATTTGATAGACAAACATTTTAGTGAAAACAGAAAGTAGTTATCTTTTTCCGTTTCAAAATGGCGGCAGTTTTTTTGGAAAAGATCTATATTTTTTTAATACTCTGTATTTCCTATACCAATGCATTTATCCCTTCTCCGGTTGAATTTTCTTACTCGTTATGAAATTAGCTTTTAATTTCATAACGAGTAAGAAAATTTAACCGGAGAAGGGATAAATACATTGGTATAGGAAACACAGAATATTAAAAAAATATAGATTTTTTCCAAAAAAACTGCTGCCATTTTGAAACGGAAAAAGATAACTACTTTCTGTTTTCACTAAAATGTTTGTCTATCAAATACCTTTAAAATGATGTATAACATGACATATGTTTACATTTGAAAATTCCGAGATTCCAACTAGTGACCCTCAGTTTTCGGCACACCCTGTATTGGGAAAAAGTTAAAAATATTTTTACGTTATTCCTTGGGGTCGATTTAGCGGGAAATAATTTTATTTCATCCTTGTACGTTAAGCCGTTTTTCCGTAATCGATTTGAGACACCTCTCGTGAGACACCCTGTATATATTTTTTTTTGTCCTATTGATGCAAGGCACTAGCCCGGAATCGTTTTTCACATTACTTTAGGCTAGACCTGGGGTTTTGACATTATTACTTAGATAAAATCCATTTGTCATTTGGCGGAATTTGAACCCAGGACATCAGGGACCAAAGTCTCTACTACTAGATAAGCTCGCTCCCCCAATATTCTTGTATATTAAAATAATTTTGTGTGTAAATCATATATGTATAATGTATGAATTGTATTGACATGTCACATAATATGTATATTTATTTTCAATTGAATATAATTGATATTTCGGGCATAGAAATATCTTTAAGAGAGAGGGAGTTTTCCTCGCCTAAGAGACCTATTTGTTTTTCATAGATGTACCCACAGCTTAAGGTATAGACAACAAACCATTAATTGTGGCTACCACACAGGTAAACCAAAGGGTATTGGTGATTGTGGTGATTTAAATTATGGTTTCCTAGACAGTAGTATTGGGCTCTAACACTAAACCAGTCCCGCTCATCTGAATCGAAGGTCACATAGTAGTTCTAAGCATTTAATGTGAACTAGAGGTCGTCCAGTGGTTGAAAACTCGACCAAAAATATGTAATGTGACAGACTTCTCTATTTTCACCCTATACTGTAAATAAAACATCTGACTGGAATTTCTTCCATTTGTTTTGATTTTCTGTTTATATTGCATTGTTTAGTCACCATAAGGCAACCCATAAGGTCAATGTAAATTTTTTTAAATTCTAAATTCATTTGTTGTGTTTATTTTTTAGCCTATTTTAATTTATGAAGGGATTCTGCACATCTACAGGAAAATATTTTTCCTACAGTATGGGTAGATTTTCCCTACATGCGCACAACTGAGAAGAAAGGTTTGAAAGAAACATGCTTGCCTATTAATATATATATACCTGCATACACCTTGTTAAAAATTACAGCATTTTGTGTAAGTAATTTTAAAGGTTGACATTTGTAATAAAATCAATCAATAATTTGTAATTTTTTTAGGCTAGAAGATTGTTTCTGAAAGGCATCGAGAACGAGCAAAAGGGAAAGCTGTATGAGGCGATTCAGTTCTATCGGCGAGCTGTCCAGCTGATTCCAGACATTGAGTTTAAAATATACGAGAGCACAAAAAATCAGAGGCCATCTGCTGAACCAACTCAACGTAAGAAAATTAGATCCTGATAGTTAATTGTTCTGACACGATGTGTTTATACTTTTCAAATTATCATTCTGGCACAAGAATCATAAATCTTTACACTAGGCTTATACCATAATTAGAACATTTTCATACCCATAGCTTAGGTGGCATTGAAAAAGCCTTTAGCATGCCTGTATGAGAAAGGACTGCTTCAATTCATCAAGCCAGTTCTATGTAAAATCTTATGTTAGCGCTGAACATTTTGGATTTGTTCACTTCGTTTGGCATATGTAATATGTACTTAAACTAGATTAAACTGATGCTTACAGTTTTAATTTGACTCACCAATTTGCAGTACAAGACTATTTAAGATTAACCAGTCTTCAAAATTCTTGAATCTATCAAAAGTTGTTCAAAATAATGGTTGTATTATCTGCATGCATATAGAACAAGGTATCGCCAAAAAAAATCGGTGGTGTGACGTACAGTGACTTGGTACTTGGTACATGGCCTGTTCGCATGGGCAGGGTTCATGGTTTTTGTGCCGCCTGCCACTTAAATTTATCAACTTACTTTAATAGACTGTGCTGACCTCGTACCCTTTCTTTGCATGATGTGTCCAACGCACAGGCCCATTGCCTATGTTGACGGGCAATTACAAGGAGAAAAGAGGCTACCAACATTTCAAAAAATTAAATACCAGTAATCATAATAATTTAATTCCTTAAGATCTTTGACACGTGTACATTTTGTAGATGAAGTTGATGAGGATGCTGAAGACAGAACACCAGGAGAGGAGGAGGAGGAGGAAGAAGAGTTTGATCCGAGTCAGACAGATTTGGTGTCACATCTACAGCGAGTCATGGCCCGTAGCTATTGCATCTGTCAGCCCAAGCAGCCTCAGATGGTGATTAAAAATAAAATAGAACACAATTTTGGTTATGTCCCACCTTTACATTCTAGGACGATAAAGCTCTAGCCCAGAACTGTTTTCATATTCAGACTAGGCCTTGTCAATCCGTTGGTTATTTAGACCAGCTTGCTTGGGGTAGCGGAATTATTTCTCCCTTGAATTTTACCCCCTGAGCAAAACTGATGCCACAGCCTAGGGGCCGGACTTTTGAGTTGCAAAACCTGACGGAATTTTATCCTTAGACTTTTCCCCCCCATGAGTTTAGCTCAAAATGTACGGCCCAGATTTTTACCCTGAACTTTTACAGGATGAAGGTAAAGGAGGAGCCAGGAGGTAAAGTCATAAGTAATGAGTCATAAGTATTTTATTGCATAAAACATTCTTCATTACAAAGGCAATGGTGAACAGGTGCATGGTCAATCAATAAGTTATAAAAACTAAAATTAAAAAGTTACAAAAAAATACAACAAGAACAGTAGCCTACAATTGAGAGAAAGTTACCAATTCAAAAAAGTTAGAAAAAAGACAAATAAAAATGAAGATGTTGAAGCAATATCAGAGAAAAAAAACCATTAAAAACATTCTGTGTCATATTTCACATAAACTAATGGTCAATTAATGTCACGGTCACTTAGGAAATCTGCCAGGAAGTAATATGATTTTCTCCACAAATAATGCTTTAGTCCTAATTTTAAATTTTTGTGGTGTAAAGGATTTTATTTTTGAGAGGATCTTATTATATAGACAAATCCCCATATAGATGGGGTTTTTTTTCAAAATGAGAGTGTTTAAGAATTGGATAATTTAGCAGATTTGGGTTTCGGGTATTATAACTATGAGTGGGTCTAAATTCACCAAAAAGTGTATTATTTAAATTAACAAATTTACTGTTTCATAGATGTACAAAGAAGTCAATGGCATTATTTTTAATTCCTTAAAGAACGACGACAGCTTGATCCATATTCTGCCCCTATCATCACTCTAATAATACTTTTTTGGACTTTAAAAACTCTGCTAACATCCTCTGAGTTTCCCCACAGAACAATTCCATAACGAAGCAGAGAGTGTATATAAGCATAATAAATAATTTTTAATGTTACTAGTGATGTTGAATTTTGAATACATTTAATTGCAAACCTAAAAGAAGTCAACTTACTAACCAAATATTGTATGTGTGATTTCCAATTGAATCTTTGATCTATATTAATCCCAAGAAATTTATATTTATCAGTGACATTAAAATCCATTCCATTGAGTTTGTGGTTATTGTTATTTCTGATGTGGAATTGCATAATGTTAGATTTGCATTCATTTAGTAAAAGTCCATTTGATTCAAACCATCTCTTTAGATCTTTTAGTGTTAATTTCAAAGTGCTTTCTAATGCAGACAGGTTTTTTCCCTGAACTATTACACTTGTATCATCAGCAAATAGTACGAACCTTTTGGAAATATGTGCTGGTAGGTCATTTATATATATATAAGAAAGAGTGTGGGTCCTAAAATGGATCCTTGAGGGACGCCAAATTTCACTGTAGCCCAGTCCGAGTAAAAACGGGTTGCCCTCTCACTGATAACTGTTCTCTGCTTTCTCCCCAAAAGATATGATGTTAATAGCTTAAGAGCCGACTCCTCAATACCAATACTGGCCATTTTTTAATTCATCATCTGATGATCCACACAGTAAAAAGCCCTGGATAGGTCACAGAAAATCCCCGCAGTAAACTGTCACCCATCCAAGGCCCTCGCTGCATCGCTCACAAAGTTTATCAAAGCCAATTCAGTTATTCTATTTTTCCTAAACTCAAACTGTTCAGCCTCAAGCAGATTATTACTTTCAAGAAAAAAAACAATTCTATTATACAGAGCTTTTTCAAAAATCTTTGATATATTTCTAAGTATATTACTAATAATATAGGTCGGACATTTTGAATGTAATTTTTTATTCCTTTTAAAAAAATTGGTTTTATCTCTAACAGCTTCAGCTTAGTCGGAAAGGTACAATTTCTAATAGCTAGATTAAAAATATAAAGTTAAAATAGGGCTTATTACTTTAACAGACAATTTAAATAAATGAACTGGAATGTCATCCCATCCACAAGATTTTGTGTTATTTAGACCTAAGATAATTTTAGCTACTTCTTCCACTGACACAGGTGAAAATTCACTTAAATATTTTATCTTACATGAAGGACTGTCTTTGACAAAAGATAAAACAGCTTTAGGGACTTTTAATAAGTCAACGTTGTTAATAAATTGATTGTTAAAACTTTGGTTGATTTTTTGAGGATTTTAAATTATCTTATAATTCTTATTGTTTATTTCTAATGTAATAGGTTCACTAATTTTATTACAATGCGCATACCCATTTCTCTTTTAACAACCAACCGCCCATGTAGCTCTTGATTTGTTTTTTGACTAAAAATGTAATTATCATTAGATGCTATTTTTCCTGCTTTTACAACTGACTTAAACACTTTTTTATAATTTTTTACATATTGCTGAAATTTTATACTTATGTTATACTTTGCTTGCCAGTGTAAAATTCCGGGGGTAAATATCTGGGCCGTAAATCTTAAGTTGCCTAATCCCCAGTTATACAGACAGGTGTAAAATTCCGGGTTTTATTGCTAATCTAATTTATCATGCTCTATCTACTTTCATTAGACTCCCAAATCCGCAGGGGTAAAATTCCACCTGCGAACAAACTTGAGAGCGCTCAGATGACTACATCATAGTGACGTCAGCTCTGCTCAGGGGGTAAAATTCCGGCAAACCGCTTGCTGTTCTGAACATAATACCAGATGAAATAAAAGATATTAAGGATAAAAAAAAGTTTAGACAAAAACTTAAAGAATTTTCGATAGAAAAGCCCATCTACTCAATAGATGAACTGTTTATGAATGTATACAGCTATAGATAGTTTTATTTTCTGTATTTTTTGTTTAGGTTAAGTATTTGTACATAGTAATTATAAGCTTGACACTATTTATTGTACGTTTTGTACATAATATAAATAAAGATAATTTGAATTTTGAATTTGAATTTGAACATTTGCATGATATTATTAAATTATATTATATTTTAGTTTTGGAAAACACATAATCCATTTGTTTGGTTTTTGTTGATGTTGATTATTTGATAGTTAAATGGAGCTTAAAATAGCCAATGAAAAAATTCCTACTACAAAACACAATAAAGTTAAACGCCAATAGATTATTTTTATTTTTATAAACCTAGTTAAGTTTATAAAAATAAAAATTATTTCATTTTTTTGTTGGAGCTTTTATCTCAAGTAGGTATATGAATATGTGTAGTTTACATGGCTTAAAATTTGCCCATAAGAAGTCAACAGTGCTTTTTATTAGAGTAAATTAAAATTATACGAGAGTACGCCCCGTGGTCGAAAAATCGACCAAAAGTATGTTTTGTGCAAACTTCTCTATTTTCACCCCGCACTGTAAATAAAACATGTGATTGAAATGTCTTCCATTTGTTTTGATTTTCTGTTTATATTTTGTTGTTATTTTGTCATCACCATAGCAACCCATATGACCCATGTTAATTTTTTAAAATTTCAAATTCATTTTTTGTGCTTATCTTTGAGCCTATTTAAATTATAAAGGGATTCTGCACACCTACAGGAAATAGCTTTCTAACGGTATGCGTAGATTTTCCCTACGATACACACGAGCTGAGAAAAAAGGTTTTAAAGAAACATGCTCGCCTATTAATATATAGATAGATTTGTCTGAGTTCTTGAGACTTGTTCATCCATCCTACATGAGGGTTGTTCACCATAGGTTATGAATCTAGGATCGTAGAATACAACAAGTTAAAAAACTCAGACTAAAAAGGTAAATAATATTTAATTATGATTTTAATATTTGTATTTTCAAATTGGAAAATAAGTCTAATTATTTTTCCCATGTAGTGTGGGTAAAAAGAACTTTAACACGACACTTCATTTATGGAAATTGCTGAAGAATTAAGGAAGTTATGGCCCACCGACAAAAAAATACTTTAGAAATTGTAATATATACTGTAGGTATAGATATAGATTATTTTATTATTATAGATTAAAAAATTTTTTTGCGCTTCAGTTTGATAAAAACAATTGTGAGATTAAGTGAATTTCATGTGCCATATTTTGAACTATTATAATTTTTGCAAATTCAAAATTAAATCCTGTCATTCCATTCAACAAAGTGATAGTAGAGTAACACTACTATTAATACCAACATAGTAACACTGTCCAAATACCACTTATACAATTTTTTAGCAACTTTTGCAATTGTTGAAAAATGCTGGCTAAAATGCCTCAATCTTACCAGATGACAAAAATGGTTGGAATAACAAACGGTATGTTATTCTCAAACCTTTAACTATTAAGATTGCATTCCTTAAAAGACTTAGCCTAAGATTCAAATTTTTAACAGACAACTCATATCTCGGCCCTGCCAGTGGAGATAATCCTGTATATCCTGCGATGGGTGGTATCCTCGGATCTGGACTTGCGATCCTTGGAAATGTGCTCTCAAGTCTCCCGGGGATTCTACGTCTGCAGCAGGGATTCTGAGATTTGGAGGCTAGCTTGTGTAAGGTGAGAATCTCAGTGTTAATTGAACATTTCCCCCTAGACCTGTAAATGCTATTATGTATGTATTTTTTCTCTTGTTTCTATCCTCATCTGCATATATTTTCCCTTTATTTCTTCTGTAAATTTCACTTGTATCCAGTTTGACCAATGTAAACCAACATGATGCACTTTTGACCTTTCCACATGCAATGTATTTTACCTGACTAGAAATTAACGTTTGATTTAATGTAAAGGTTAAGGATGTAACATTAGAGCAGTAGGGTCTAGGTTATTAGTATTTCTTTAAAGAACACCTTAATAGTTAAAAGTCCAAACTGGCACAAACACACTTGGGCTCCTCACATTGTTTTCATACAACCTCTCAACCTTCGACCCATAGTAATAGTCCAACCAAAATTTCCTTATCCGGCAAACAATAACTCAACCAACTAATGGATCATACCCTTGTGAAATCAAGAGATAAAAAAATGTGAGATAATTCAACCAAGCAAAACTTTTCCCAGCTCCAAAATTCCAATCCAAAATTCAAACATATGTGAAACAAAGCATATTGTTTACCAACTCATCCAATGTAACCAATTTGATGCACACAGTATGTAAGCCTATCCACCAATAGCCTTGTATCAAGGATGAATGGTCACAGTCAAGATGTATCTGCTGAACACAAAGACAAACCAGTAGTAAACATACCCAAAGCCACAATATCTCCAATTTTTACGAATGCTACACAACGTAAACAGTCAAATCCCTGCCTCTTCAATGGAACCAGTCAATTAAGAAGATGGGAATTATCTTACTAGTGGTTTACTTACAGATCTGGACAACTAGAGAGTAGGGGTGTGAGAGCGGCTCGATTATCGAGCCGAGCCTGGTCTATAATCTCAAAAGATGGAGCACAAAGTTGAAAAATCAAGTAATCGTAAAACAAGTCTGCAAAATTTGTGCAATCAAAAAATGTACCCTATTGCTGCCATTGCGGATGATGATGAAAACATAATCGCGGGAAATAATGGTGATGTGTACACAACTGCGGAAGGTGTCCAGGATTTTGCCATAATGGCAAAAGACAATGATGACGTTTTTGTAACATAACTCTTACATCAATTTTTGTTCAATATTTACCAATATAACCAAAAAATATATTATACATATATATTATATATTATATAATATATAATATATATTATATATATTATATATTATTAAAATATATTATTTATTATATTTTTAATTTTTCAATATTTTTTAAATATTTATACACACCCATTTTTACCAATTAACAGAAGCGACCAGCCAAAGCTTGCCTAAAAAACAGTCTAACTTTTATCACAAAATATTTTAAATTTTTAACAGAAGCAACAAGCTAAAGCTTGCCTAAAAACCATCTAATTTTTATCATACAACGTTTTTTAAATTTCAACCAACTGTTCAAGACTATTTGGCGAAGACTTAACTATGTCGAAGTACAAAACAAAACTTTCAAAATATCCCTGTGGTAAATGTAATATCATCGGTGTAAAATACATTACAACACTCGTCATGGCTACAAATTTGTCCTACCAGCTCACCGAACCACTCTCTGGGAGAAAAAAACCTTCATTCACCGGCCGTTTTGTATATTAAAATTAACTCTAATTTACTCATGCAACTATTGTAACTCTTGATGAATGCACAATAAAAAATATTGTATTGTATTGTAAATAAGTTGAAATTTATTTTAAACTACTCTACATCTTAACATTAAATTGCTTTAAAAAAAAAGCTTTTTGACTAAGTATGATGATATTCATTATAATTATAGAAGAAATCTCGGCTTGGAAAAAGCTCGAAGCTCCGCTTGACTGAAAATCTCATGCTTGCACACCTTTACTAGTAAGCACTAAAAACAGACTTACATACATATTTACTTACACATATAAAGTCTGAGTACATATTGGCAACACTGTTACAACTTCCTGGCCCATTAGGCATGAAGAAAACTCTCTCTTTATCATATAACATAAAAGTACCGGGGGACCGAGGCTTGCTCGGTTGTGGTTTTGGTTAAATGGTAAAAAAATATCGTAAACACATTTTATAATTTACAAAAAGGATTTTTATTACAATCCATAGACACTTGATTGCTGAAATAACAACAAATCTGTAATTTTAAATTATGCAACCAAACAAAAATAAAATAAACTTTTATGAACTTGCTTAAGTTGATCCAATCTATTTCTGCCTCAGTAATTTTTTATCTAAAACTCCAAAAGTCTAGTAGAGTTGTATTTACCAAATTAGTTTCTTCAGCAACTTCACAAAGTTCCCTGCGATACTGGTCCACCAATAAATTTGATAGCTCCAAAATTATCTATTCATAAAATTACAACCATATTCTTCCCTTGTTTTTAAATACACTTTGCTAGAAAATCCACAAACGATCAATATTATTGCTCATAAAAACATGAGATTAAGCTCACTCTGTAATTAGAAACATACTCTAAAAATAGAACTATTTTTCTCCATATTGCGTAAAATTCAGTGTAATGTTTGCTCAATAGTTACAACTGATGTTTTTTCCTTTATTTTGTAATTTGTTAGCATACTGTGGATGAATTGTTATGAACAGATGTTACATACAAGTCCTTTGTTTACATTTTCCTTGTTATTTTGTTCAACCAAAATAGTTACTTAACAACCTATAAGGCCCAATAATACATTTTTAAAATTTTTAAATGAGTTGGGGTAGCGAAATACAAATTTTCCTGGGGTAGTGGCTGTCGCCAATCACGTTTTTTGGGCTATAAGTCTCTACCTAATTCCAAAATTTAGTCAAAATCCTAACAGACATTGCTCGCATTAGAGAATAGGATATTGTCAGTGACAGTGAAATTTTATAAGGTTTTGTGTATAGTGTAAAGTTTTGTGTTTCTTGTGCCAGTTGAAGAGCAAGTGTATCTGTACCATTAAAAACAACAGACAACATTTTTACCATTCAGGTAAATCAGGAATCCTAGAAAAATACCGGTATGGATCATAAACATAAACAAATGACGTTGTCGGCCCGAATCCTATACTTAAGGCGGGGACACACTTGTCATACACTGTTCCGATCCTACTACGATCCGATTTGCGGGATTCCAGAGGGATCAGTGCGGAGGGGGTGAGCACACATGTCATATACGATTCCGACTCATCTCCGATTTCCTCCACCGGGTCGATCAACACTCGCCAGTCTGATTTGTAAACTACGTGCAGAAGGTGGTAAACATGTTCAAAAACTTTGGACTTCGGGATTCAGCCATGATGGCGGTTTGTCTAGATGAAGAGGAAGAATGTCAGACATCTCTGGAGGGCAGTGGAAAACGGAGAATTTGGGTCCATTCTGCATGGAATGAAAGTTAGGTTGTTTACTTAAGTGCCCATCTTATATATTAAACACATTGGGTTTTCTCTCTCGAGTTCGATTGGCTCTTCTACCCGTCCGATTTTCATGATCGAGGTCTCAAATTGAAGATATGCATGCACAGATTTCACATCAAGCATCGGCATATATTTATCTTAAACCAATATTCTTGAACATTAAGAATAAAGGTGATTTTTAAGAAACAACCCGTCCTGCATCCGACAAACGAATAGACTGCAGTGTCGGTGCGTGATCGGAGACAAAATCGGAGTAGGATCGGAGTATGACGTGACGCGTGTCGGAGAGGTGTAAACACCCGCGTTCAAAGTTAAGTAGGCTACCATTCCCCTCTCCGACAGTCGTACCACAGTATGATTGGAGTCGGATCGGAAGGGTGTATGACAAGTGTGTCCCCGCGCCTTAACAGCATTAACATATGTTTTGGCAGTTCCATTTAAGCAATGTTAAATATTGTTTATTTTCGGGCCGAAAACATCATTTGTTTATGTTTATGATCCATACCGGGTCTTTTCTAGTATTCGTGAGGTAAATCTTCTATCCTCACAAAGATCCTAATAGACTCCCCTATAAATTTATCATCTTTAAGGATCAGCTGAAGACAATTTTAAGTTATGTTGTTTGGTTACATAGTAGTTATATATCTTGTTATTTTGCTAGTTATAAAATTATAATAAATCTAAAACAACATAACCATAGAAAACCATTAATAGAGAATTAAAAAAATATTGTGGTGTCAATTGGTTGAAGGCAATAAGTAAGTTAACTTGTGTAAGAACAAGAACGCAGATTTGTTTGGGGTAATTTTATTTATAGTTTGAGCCTGCTCCAGGACTTTTCGATCCATTCTAACTAGTTTAAAAAATCTTGTGAAATAAGTCAAAAGTAGCAATAATAAAGAGCTCATTTATTGGGAAAAGACTTGCTCCCATATGTTTCTGCAAGTTTGTTATCATAAGATAAAAAAAGCTAGGTGAATTGGATATCAGACTGTGGTTATACTGATGGGGAAAATTGTTTATGAGAACACAAAGTCCAAACTAAACAGTAATATTCTGTATTGCAACAGGGTGTGGGGCATCAACTGTGGAGGTCTGTCGTCATACAAGACATGGAGGGAAATGTTCATATCTCGGCCTCGACTGCTGTACAATGGCTGCTACATCAGTAAGACAACGTACATCCGTAGCGGAGAGAACAGCTTCCAGGACCAGTTCTACAGGCCCTGGCATCTAGTGCAATACTACCGCTATATCAGGTAGAAATTTGCCTAAAACATTCATAACAGTGAGTCCAGCCAACTGGGAAACCATGGTATGTGGTTGCTTTTTTTGGTGTCAGTTAATGACTTGCCACTTCATATTGAGGGATCCTCAACCACAATGTTTGCGGATGACACTACTTTTTTAACTGTACATTCAAATTACAATAGTCTTAAGATAGCTGTAGATAAAACAATGGAACAAGCTGGTGTATGGTTTGGTGCTAATAACCTAGTTCTAAATGTAGACAAAACACAAATTCTTATTTGCCTAACAAAAAATAAGAATATAGGGTGTGAGGTAGGGAAAATGAGGCTGTAAAGACTCTAGGTGTGCTTATTGATAGTGATCTGTCCTGGTCTTCCCATGTTGATTATGTCTGTAAGAAGTTGTCTAGAGTTTTATTTTTATACTTATTAAATAATTTAAAAACTGTTGTAGGCCTACCTGATAAATATGTTAGAGTAGCCTATTTTGCTTTTTTTCAATCTGTTTTAAGTTATGGTTTGATTCTCTGGGGCAACAGTAGTTGTATTGAAGATGTTTTGTTACTGCAGAAGAAAGCCTTGCGAATAATACTAGATCTCCATTTAAAGCTCATTGTAGGCCTTTATTTACCAGCACTAAGATATTAACTGTAATTAATCTGTATATATTTGTATGTTTAGTTGATGTAAAAAGTAATTTAAGTAATTTAGTTGCTGGAAGGGATTGCCATGCGCATGACACAAGACATAACTCTTTGCTCCAAATTCCACAACATAGACTTAGTTTAAGTGCCAAGAACCATCCCATTTTGAGTTTAAATATGCTCAATATACTTCACCCTGAATCAAGACTTACCAGATTCTGTATTTATAGACTTTTCAACTGGTTAACTGTAAATCCTTTTTATCACAAGTATTTTGATTTAAAAAAATACAACTGTAATTTTTTAGTTAAAATCCGTATGCACTTTAGTTATAGTCTCATTGTACCTGTTTAGTTAAGTATATAACAAATTTTGACTTGGCCTATTTTATAAATGTTTATGGCAATAAAGAGATTTGATTTGATTTGTGAATATTGGTGACTGGGAAAAGTAGGGTGGATCATGTGAATTTGTATGGGACCAGGAAATATTTAATAATCACCAGTGTAGCCTTTGGTTGAGTGTCTACTCATTTATGGCATTCCACTGGTCTCACAAGTAGCTTGTAGTGAGAAAATCGCAATGACAGAAAATTATCTTCATGTTTCCATGATCGCCAAAGGGTCCGCGGAATTGGCTAACTCTGGAACTCGCTAACCCCATGTTAAACGCCCTATCTTCAAATTTGGTCGATGAGAGGAACTCGCTAACTTGTTCGGTTTCGGAATTGGCTAACTCCGGAACCCACTAACCCGCTCTAGAGCCGGGTTAGCGAATTCTGTCCTCGTACGGAAGTCGCTAACTCGGTCCCTCGGCGGAACTCGCTAACTCCCAATCAGAAGCCTCGCGGGCCGTCCAATGGGAGCCAAGCACGAAGATTTTTTGGCCAGTGTTGCCGAAAGTGTAGTACCTATGATCGTATCGGTACCATAATGTCGTATCCTACGAATGATTAGGAGTAAGAGGAAGGTAGTTGATAAAATAAATATATTTAGAAGTATGTTTAATATTATTCTTATGATTATTAGGGTGGAAAATGCATTATAGTCTTACCATAGAGACTAACCAACACAAGTAAACTTTACATCCCATTGTAAACTTTGAAGCTAATTTTTCGTGTCTAGTCAATGTCCGGTGACACTGATCGCTATTGTTTTTTAATCATAGAAAAAAGAACCTTATGAAAAATAAACTTGATGTTGGTTGTTCACCTTGCGTTTGCTTGAAACTCGTCCGATTTAAATAAATAAAAGCTTAATGAAAGCCGGTATTTCTCTTAAGGTTCTTGATCAAAATACCTATATAGGATTAGATAATTATAACTGGTGAAATACATCTTAAATTGAAGTAAGAATTTGAAAATGAAATTAATCAAATTATGTATTTGGTCGAGTAATACAGTAGGTAAATATATGCCGATGCTTGATGGCAAATCTGTGTGTGCGTACCTTCAATTTGAGACCTCAATCATAAAAATCGGTCTGGTAGAAGAGCCAAACAAACTCGGAAAAGAAAAACAAAAATTGTTAAATATATAAGATTGGGATGCAAAAAGATATTACTGTACATTTAATTTGGATCATTTACATGTAATGAAACATCTTTTTTCGTAGTCCGCCATTTTTCTTTTATTCGAATAAATATCATTTTGTGAACTTCTGCAAATAAAATAATTAAGTTCGTATTTTGTATACTGGGCTTGTAACCTTGAATGCTTATCCTTGATGGGCTATAATATTTGATTCTTTAAAGGCCTATTATATCTGTCGTGTGAGTGTTAACAATAGTTTGGTTCTTCTTAATATTTCTGTATTATCTCCGAAATAATTCCGAATCATAGTATTTGTAAACAAATGAAAATAGTTTCGATATTTTTATATAGCAGGCACATGATTTACCTAGGTACATTAATTAATAACGGAAATAAAAAACGTTAACAATGCATTACAATATTGCATCTTTACTGTAGCCAAGAAAAGGAATTTAAACTTTCTTGCATTACGTTGTTAGGAAACATATAATCTATTAACACAAATTGAAGCAGTGTTGTAATAGTCTATCCTATTCGAGGCAAATAACAAATAGACATTTAAAAAAGCTCCAGTAATTGCCGTAGACTTTATGCCTAGAATTTTGAGGATTACCTTACCGATATAACTTACACGTTAAACGTCATTACAGAAATACTTTGTAGTGGTAATATATTTTTAAATAGAGCTATTGAATTAAAATAAATATTGATCAATAGGCCTACATTATAAAGTGGTAATGTATTCATGGATTGCATTAAAAATTAGTCTATGCATAAATACAATTTGTAAATTTCTCTTACCATAGGCTATTAGTGTAGAACCCGGGTCATCCTCTTAATTTTGTTTAATTGATATTAATTTTACGTTTCTTAGTAGGCATACTTTTAAAAAGTCTGGAGTTTTTATGGTTCTAAATGGACCCAGGCGTTCTTGTTTGTTACCATTTTAATGGATGGTGACCATAGCTTACCTGCTGATCTTATCCAACAACAAAGCTACTGTCTAGATTGAGTAGCTCAGTATCGGGAAACGGGGAACCGAGAAATGGCTTGGTATAGTTTATTTCGATTGTGAAAGCAATATAAAGGAAACTTGACACTCAAATCAGGAAAATCCGTCAAGTTGCTGATTAAGAATCGTGAATTAAAATTACTCTGTCACGTTTTAATATAAGAATATTATATCTTCTCCTATTATGTACTAGTGGGGCTTAGGTGTACAATCTAAAAACTGTTTTAAAACATGTAACATTACTAAAACACATTTTAGAATTAGGAAACTATTTACTAGTAGGCCTACAAGGCTTTGGTTACAGCTATTCTATAAATTGATATGAAACGTAGTGTGTATGTCATATTTTTACAGGTAAGTTGGACGATTCAACGACAAACCTTTAATTTTAAATCTATGAATTAGTTATAAACGTTACGTTGGTTGATGACTGTATTATTTAATGGTTTTGGTTTATTACTACATTACGATTAAATTTGTTTTCCGTGTTGAAGAATTTGCGTGTATTTTAGCTTAATTTCGTAGAGGTTTAATTGTTTAGTACCAATTAAACTGAATGTTCAATATTTTTCATATTCTATTATTTTCCTATAATACTGATTGCATTTATATTTTTAGATCGAAATCATTAACATTTAAGCCTAATTGGCCGTTGTACAGTTAAATAAAAAAAAACACTTTTTTCATGATTTATTAATTGCCTTTCAATTACTTTGGACTAGTTAGCTGTTAAAAGTGGAATTGATAACAAAAAACAATAACATATACAGTGTTAGAGGTCTCCATTGGCACTCCCGTTTCGCTAACACTGTACTGTATCTTCATTGAAACTGACATTTTGAAATACGGCAGAGTACAATTATTTCTTTGTACAAGGTTGGCAACGCTCCATGCAATGGGCGCGGCCCGGTTAGCGACTTCCAGAGTTAGCGAATTCCGCCGCGAGACAAAATCGAGTTAGCAGGTTCCGGAGTTAGCCAATTCCTGACTGAGATGGTTAGCCAGTTCCAGAGTTAGCCAGTTCCGACACACGACCGAGTTAGCGAGTTCCAGAGTTAGCCAATTCCTACGTCTCTCGCCAAAGATACTCAAGAGTGTTGTCGGCGTTGTCGCTATTGTAGGAGCTATAACAATGTCGCCTTCAAGGTTCTTTTCCTTTTGTTTTGATACAACCTCATAATCAAGATTTGGAAAGTAGGTAGTTCAACAGGTAAAACTCCTAGGTATAGACTAATAAAAAAAACTTATCTTGGGGTTAATGGCGTGCCAATTTTTTTTTTCAAAGAAATTTCAGTCCCCTACAGAATTTTTGATGTTGATTAATTAGTTTGTTAATATACCACATACAGTACCATATAAGTTTATAAACTTAGTGGTTTTGGCAGGTTTTTCCCTGAAGGTTTGGTGCTAATGCTCACTACAGCTGAGGAGCCGATGTCTTGTCTCTCTTTGTTGAAGGCTCGCCAGGTAACATCCATTTGCTGATACATTTAGCAATTTATTAATTTCAATTTGTTCAATCATTGAAACCTTATTTACAATCACGAGTTTTAAAAAGGGATACAGGTTAGCTACCTTACCTGAGAAAATTAGATTATAACAGTCAGTTGGTTTTTCTTTAAAATATTTCATAATTTAGCGATGGATTAAAAATTCAGTGGTACTCATTACCACGATTCAATGTCGCCAGAGATATCAGTGATATGTTTATCCTAACTATTAAAAAATAGATTTGTTTAAATTGACTGGATCTTCTTAGTTCTTGAGCCAGTATCTTGGCTGTGGGTGTTTCACGGAATATTAATCAAACAATCAATCAAAATGCTTTATTCTCAAGTGCTTCTCAGTTCAAAACTGGTTTACAAAATTAATTATGTCAAACATCAAACAAACTATATAGATAGAAGAATATACAAAGAAAAACTTATACAAGGATGCTTTGTAAAACACTTTCATTTTCACCATGAATGCCGAGGTCAAAAGGCTTTTGAACTTAAACAAAAGGTTGTTGTAAATTGTTGGGCCAAGATAGGAGAACCCCCTATGTTCTATCTCTCCAAATTGACTTTTGGAAAGTGGAAGAAAGAGTCCTGTGTAGTGCCTTGTCGAGACAAGCAGAATCCACAAAAAAGGGGATGTTTCCCTTACAAGGCGACTCTAGACAAGACAAACTGTGGTATTTGACATTTGTACATTTAATAGTAATGTGTATTTTTGTAACCAGGCTCGCCACCCCGCAGTGATGATTGGTCACTATAGGCTATGTGATGATAGAGTAACCTTGACTGTACAAAAGCAAGAGACTGGCGGACCACAGAAGTACAAACAGAGGAGGAACAATAACACACAGGAACACACCTTCCATCTGGTAGGTCTACCAATCTTGTACATGCTTTATGGTCACTATCCCCTTATAACACACCTATTTATTTGAAGTATGTTATCACTTTCACAGTGGCGTAACTAGAACATGGCTTTGGGGGGGGGGGGGGGGATGGATGAGCTCAAAGTCTGCACCCATCCGAGGGGCCTGCCAGTAAAGAGGGGGGTCCGGAAAAATTAGAACTCCAAACTCGCGTTTTCAGGCTTTCTAAAGGTGTAATCACGTTCAAAAGAACTCAAAAAATCAACCCAATTGAGGCTGTCTCTGGCCGGTCAGATTTAGGAAATAGTATTTCTTGATAAGAAGTACCACTATCAGTAACACACGTGATTGTTTTTACCGGCCGCCTGCGTGATTCGCAGCTTATTACAGTTTCTCCACTTTAGAGTTTTAGAGCTTTAGACTTGGCTGACATACCCTCCCGACAGCCCTGACACTATAGGCTATTGGATAATCTTCATATACAGGGTGAGTTTTAAATAAGTTCCCCCCCCTACTTTTTTCTACATTTCTTAAGATATCAACTCCGGACCACGTCAGATCATTGTAGAGTAGAAAGTACTTCATTTTGACTGGGTATAAAATTTTGGCCGCCATCTTGGATTTGCCATATTGGATACAAAGTTTTTTTTTCAAATGTAAAGGTAGGATTGTGACCCATCGTTTCAAACAAACATTTTACGCTGAGTATGATGCTGCAATGCGTTTTTAAAAATCTTGATCCATTCTAAAGTTATGAGAAAATTTTATAACTTATTTTTAGCCCATTTTAACATTGTGTAGTTACAAACTCAGACTATAATCGTAAAATAGAGCTAGATAAAGATAAGTATACACCACCAGTCATTGTCAACCTATTTTCACTTGGTTATGATCACTTGGATACGATTATGGTCTTAGTTTGTAACTGCACAATGTTAAAATTGGCTAAAAATACAGTTTTAAACAGTACTCATAACTTTAGAACGGATCAAAATTTTTAAAAACGGATTGCAGCATCGTATTCAGGGTAAAAATCTAGTTTGAAACGATGGGTCACAACCCTACCTTTGCATTTGAAAAAAAAACTTTGTGTCCAATATGGCGGATCCAAGATGGCTGCCAAAATTTTATACCCAGTCAAAATGAAGTACTTACTACTCTACAATGATCTGACGTGGTCCGGAGTTGATATCTTAAGAAATGTAGAAAAAAGTAGGGGGGGGGAACTCATTTAAAACTCACCCTGTATAATACGTTAAGGCGATTTCTACGAAACACTACTCCTTCGTTAATAATGGATGGGTTTTTACAAACGATGTGTCAAAATTAAGTATTTTTTGTGTAGATGCCCTCTTTCACCAATTCCTGTAATAAAAGTCCTCGGACTTTGCCCTACAGACCATCAAAATCCCAATGTATTTCTTATAAAGAAAATTTACTAACCCAGCTGTTTAGTAAATCTTACTTCAGTAGTGGAATTTGTCAAGTGTCAAGAAAGTATTTAAAGTATAAAGTATATTTTGCGTCATGTGTACATGTTGTTAGTTCAATATAAACAAACAACACATGGCTTAATATAAAGCAAATATTGGGTTAGATAAAAATAAATATTAGAATTCAATAATATTTTCCGTAGATTTTTAAAACAGAATTAATTATTCTCTCCTGTATTCTCACCCCGTAGCGAAGCACAGGCAGAGCAACTAGTATAATACAAAATACCCAACATTACTAAATAACTTCAATATATTTCAAATTAACATGGCTCATTTAATATTTGTTACAAGTCAATACAAGTTTATTTTTGTTTTTGGTTCTTTGCTTAAATTAAGGCAAACTATCATATTAAAAAGACAACAGGACAGTTAACGTGTGATAGTTTCTGTAGATTACAAAACAAACTCAAGTTTTCTTGGTCTTTTTGTTATGTCATCTATAATTTCCGTATAACAGAACAGAACTAGAACTAGAATACAGAGTAACTAACCTAAAAGCTGTCTGGCGTCTGATTAGTGCATGCCTGCAGTTTTACCACTATCACTCTCCAAATTAACTCCTGCTGCCTGGGTGTATTAATTAAATAAACCTTTTAAAATTAGTTAGCTAATAATTAACGTATTAGATTAATAAAACCAAATCAAAACTAAATCATCAGTTTCAGTTATAATGCTGTGATAAAAATATTTAATTTTAATTTTAGGGTTCTGGGGGGGGGGGATTATATCCTCCTCATCCCCCCCCCCCACAGTTATGCCACCACACTTTCAGATCTATTCAAACAAACTTAAAATAAACTGATGTAATGGATAAAGGTAAATTCAAAGATACGACACAAAATGATCATTTTTTTTAAACCAACAAGATTTTTTTCCTGGCACAAGAAAGATTGGAAATATCTCAAAAGCAGTATAGTGTCAAGTTGATTAACACGTTCGCTACTGCAATAGTACGAAATTTTTCATTAACATAGACCAGCGACGCACATATGCGACGGCCAGTTTCCACCCATAGACTGCCGTCGCATATTTGCGTCGGGGTTCTAATGTTATTAAAATGCTTATATCTTTGTAACGGTCTATTTGAAGGCACTGAATTCCCTGCAGTGGTCTACAGAGATGTCTGACGTACAACTGCGTTGCTTGGTCTGTGGATATGATGATTGGTGACGTCATATGATAGTTGGAAAAACGGGTCCGCGGAATTGGCTAACTCTGGAACTCGCTAACCCCATGTTAAATGCCCTATCTTCAAATTTGGTCGATGAGAGGAACTCGCTAACTTGTTCGGTTTCGGAATTGGCTAACTCCGGAACCCGCTATCCCGCTCTAGAGCCGGGTTAGCGAATTCCGTCCTCGTACGGAAGTCGCTAACTCGGTCCCTCGGCAGAACTCGCTAACTCCCAATCAGAGGCCTCGCGGGCCGTCCAATGGGAGCCAAGCACGAATATTTTTGGCCAGTGTTGCCGAAAGTGTAGTACCTGTATCGTATCGGCACCATAATGTCGTATCCTACGCTTAATTAGGAGTAAGATCAACGTAGTCGATAAAATAAATATATTTTGAAGTATGTTTAACCACAGAGAAGTTCTTATGATTATTAGGGTGGAAAATGCATTATAGTCTTACCATAGACTAACCAACACAAGTAAACTTTACATCCCATTGTAAACTTTGAAGCTCGTTTTTCGTGTCTAGTTCATGTCCGGTGACACTGATCGCTAGTGTCGACAAAATTGTGTTTCGATTATTTTATAGTTAACTTCATGATTTGTTCCTTACTGTTTGGTTATATAACTAGGGGACGTGTTATTAGTTGTGATTAGAACGTTTTATTTGGTTAAACGAGGTTTTAAATTACTGAAAACAAGAAACAATTGTAAACCAAACACGACCTCTAAAGACAGTACACCGGACAGAACTAACAATACAACTGTCTTCAGATCATCCATAAGGATGAGAAATGTACTAATATAAGGGAGTATGTTTTATATGTGGGTTTCTTACTTAAATAGTAGCTTATTGGTATGAAAAAGATAAAAATACACATTTAATTTGGATCTATTACATGTTATGAAATATCTATTTTCGTAGTCCGCCATTTATTTCTTTTATTCGAATAAATACCATTTTGTGAACTTCTGCAAATAAAATTTTTGAGTTCGTATTTTATATACTGGGCTTGTAGTAACCTTAAATCATAAATCATAATAAAATTTACACGTTAAACGTCATTACAGAATTACATTGTAGTGGTTATGTATTTTTAAATAGAGCTATTGAATTTAAATAAATATTTATCAATACATTATAAAGTGGTAGGCCTAATGTATTCATGGATTGCATTAAAAGTTAGTCTATGCATAAATACAACTTGTAAATTTCTTTTATCGTAGGCTATTAGTGTAGAACCCGGGTCATCCTCTTAATTTTGTTGAATTAATATTAATTTTACTTCTTTCAGTAGGCTTACTTTTTAAAAGTCTGGAGTTTTTTTCCAGGCTGATTCTATCTTATCCAAAAACAAAGCTATTGTCTATTGTGTAGCTCAGTACTGGGGAATGGTGAACCGAGCAATGGCTTGGTATAGTTTATATCGTTTGTGAAAGCAATATAAAGGAAACCCAACACTCAAATCAGGAAAATCCGTCAATTAGTTTATTAAAAATCGTGAATTAAAATAACCCTGTCACGTTTTATTATATGAATATTATATCTTCTCCTATTTTTTACTAGTGGTGCTTAGGTGTACAATCTAAAAACTGTTTTGAAACATGTAACATTATTGCTAAAAAATTCAACACATTTTAGAATTAGGCAACTATTTACTAGTAGGTCTACAATGCTTTGGTTCAAACTATTAGGCCTAGATAAAAACTTAGTCTATGTCATCATATTTGTACACGTAAGTTGGACGGTTCAATGACGAACATTTAATTTAAAATCTATGAATTAATTATGAAAGTTACGATGGTTGATGACTGTATTAATTAATGGTTTTGGTTTATTACGACATTACAATTAAATCTGTTTTCCGTGTTTAAGAACTTGCGTGTATTTTAGCTTATTTTCGTAGAGGTTTAATTATTTATTACCAATAAACTAAATTTTGAATATTTTTCATATTCTATTATTTTCTTTTATACTGATGGCATTTATATTTAAGATCGAAATCATAAACATTTAACTGGCCATTGTACAGTTTAATAAAAAACACTTTTTCATGATTTTTTAATTGTCTTTTAATTACTTTGGGCTAGTTATCTGTTAAAAGTGGAATTGATAAAAAAAAAAATTACATTTACTGTATCTTTATAGACACTGACATTTTGAAATACGGCAGTGTACGATTATTTTGTCGTACAAGGTTGGCAACGCTCCGAGCAGTGGGCGCGGCCGGGTTAGCGACTTCCAGAGTTAGCGAATTCCGCCGCGAGACAAAATCGAGTTAGCGGGTTCCGGAGTTAGCCAATTCCTGACTGAGACGGTTAGCCAGTTCCAGAGTTAGCCAGTTCCGCCACACGACCGAGTTAGCGAGTTCCTGAGTTAGCCAATTCCTACGTCTCGGAAAAACTTGTCTTTACTTTTCTGCATCACTGTATGTATGTATGCTGCATTATCCTATGTAGCCTTTATATTTGTTCAGTTATAAACTGTTCTTGAATAATCTGTTTTTGACTTACTTTCACCTCAAAAATTAACTGTCGCATATATTGGGCGTTTGGTCTATTTCAAGAAAACTATGATAATTTTCACTATTGTCTTTGCTGTAGACCGGGCTTCGCAAATATGCGACATTACAAAAGGTTATAAAAAATACAAAAAAACAAGAATAAATTATTTACAAAAACGATTGTAGCGTATTACAATGTAAACGATCTCTGTTTTACAGGTTTTCGCCCGTGGTCTGTGTGTACTGTTAACCAAGTGACAGCCGGTCTATGTGTAAGATTCAAATGTATACCTCAGTCTGTGGCAATGACCTCGGTGTCGGATGTATGCGACGCTCAGTAGCAAACGTGTTAACCATATCAATGTATGTCAAGCCCTTGAGTGTTTGGAATGAAAGAAAGCCCAAATGATCAAGCCCCAGAAAAAAACCATCAAAAAGCTACTGATATTTTTTGGTACCGGACCTGGGACCTTCTGATTTAAATGCAAGCATTATAACCACTCAGTTTAAACCCCAGCTTTTGTTAAAAAGTATTCACCGCAAGTATTGAAGACACATTGCAATCAATTAAATTAAAAAATTTGATTTCCGTAGCTTTTAAATAGTTAAATCATACCTTTTCAAAACACGTACACATTGACTTTTGCATTCATCCTGATAAATCTTGAATTTGTTTACTATTAGTTTTCCCTTTGCAGGAGTTTGAGATAGTCCCAAGGCGCTCTAAGAACCACGGACAGCTAAGATGGCGTTGCTACTCAGTGTTCACCAAGAATAGAGATGGCCACGAGACATCGTCCACGTTTGAGGTTGTCGGCTCCCGTTTCCCTTCCCTTTGGTTCTCTAGAGTCAAGAGTTACACGGCAGAAGCTGATTACCCTCTTATGTAAAGTTATATTTTTCTCAGATACTAAAGCTATATTTAACTATAGAATAAAGTCGTTGTAAGGACCAATGTTTTGTACTCTTTGGTGTTACTTTCCCGTTCCTTTATGAACATTAGTAGCAGAAATGTGCTTCACTTAATTTCTTTTGAATTATTATTCAACTTACTGCAGAAAAATTAGTACCCTTTTTTATGTGTCTTTTAACATCTTATCATTAGGTGTTCTTCATGGTTTTAAAAACATTTCCTAAGACCAAATTGGAATTGAATTATTGTTGAATTGTTGGGTATCATCCAATGATGATGTTGGTCTTCCCTTAGTTAATCGGTTGAGGAAAGTTGATGCAAAGCCTAGAGCTAAAGTTGAGATTGGAGGGACGAACCTACCTGCAAACTTGTCCTGTGTTTTATGTTCTTTTGCACAACCTATACACAATTATTTAAAGATGTATAGGATGAGAAGAAAACAGACCATCCAAGAACGAATAAGAGAAGTTCATAGAAGTCCATAGCAAAAACCTTTCTCAAAAGAAATAAATACCAAAAGTCAAGCAATAATTAATTTTATCCATAATATTTTTGTCCATTCCTTCCTCCATGTGTACCAGTGGCAATCAGAATCAATCCTTGGGCAGAGACTTTTTCTTTCCTCTAACAATATCTTGGTGCCACTGAGGAGGTTTTCCTAGACGCTCAGATCTTACGACTCGTACAAAATCCAGACTAGTAAGCTGAGGTAGTAGATGGAGTACTGTCGTGCGATATTGTGGCAGGGAATCCATAGGGTTGCCATGGAGAGTGAGTGAACGGAGCTCCTGAAGTGGTTGAAGTTGAGTCACCACTTCCAGGTTGTAAATTACATTACCATGTAAATAAAGAATCTTCAGGTTCTTGAAGTGCAGGATTTGCTGAAAATTGTTAGTAAAATCGTTGACTAAGGACACAACTAGACAATACATTCCCATGTTAAATTTGAAGCAGTAAGATCCTAGTTGAATCGACCCAATGACAGAGTGTGCTGATGTAAATTACCGATTCCTGATGTGTCTTGTGTCCTTGGAGGCTAGCGGCCATCTTGGATAATTTCAAACATCTGCTGAAGAGTTAATTTTCATCCAAAATAGTTTTTCAAACACCAAAGTGATTATAATCTTTGTTATTTTGAATTGATTTCCAAGGGATTTCATGGAAACCAACGGCCACTTGGATTTGCCTGCCATAAGAGCAATGTTAATTTTGATCTTTTTAAACAGCCGCTGAAAAGTTATTTACAGTACCATCTCAAAATATATTTTCAAATACAAAGGTGATTGTAATTTAAATATCTAGTATACTGTGTAGTTAAAAATGTTCTTTGTATTTTTAAAATTGTTTTATGAGTTAGAATGTCTAGGCTCCAAGGACTCTTAACCACACCAAACTGAAAGGACAACTTACTGTATAGGTTATCTCCAGCATATTGTATGCCACATCAACAAAAACAAAGAGGGAAAATAGAATCCTATTTTTGAAAGACATGTTTTTAGGTGAGGTTTATTATACTGTATTGATCAGCTTGTGGGCTTCACTCACCTTAATTTGTTAGTCCAGGACTCGTCAAAATTTAATACACGAAGACACAAGGACGATTTTTTTATGTACGTGTATGTGTATGTTGTGTGTCTTCGTGTATTAAATTTTGACAAGTCCTGGATTAACAAATTAAGGTGAGTGAAGCCCACAAGCTGATCAATACAGAAAATAGAATGTCAGATTCTTGCACTTTCTGTTAGGGCCTCATTCAACTTTTTTTTTTATTAGTCAGAGCTTTAATATTAAGTTACTTTTATGATCGTAATTTCTGCTGGAGCAGCTTATTGTTTCTCATAAATCATAGATTGTTATACTTAAGATGAGTAGACATATATGCAGCTAATATACGGTACACTATATGAGTTCACAAAGTGTTTTCAGGAGTTCTGCTAAGTGTCTTTAAAATTGAATTATCTTTAATAAATTTTACTTTAAAATTATTATGTGTTGTATACATTACCACATCGATATCGTATATCTTGTTGTAAGAAAGGTCGAGCCAAACAAGATTGATTGGAGCAACAAGAAGCAGATTCAAGATGGCTGCCGCATCTCTAGTAGTCTGTAGCTTATTGTTGCCTAACCACACAGCTGCAGCATTGTACTTGCCATCTTCTCCAACTTTTGGACCAGTACCCAGCCGATTCTTACTTGGTTTTTGGGTAAAAATGTCTGAAGACAACATTTTTAATATTTTTATTATTGTGGTTTACTTTTCCTGAAGTTAAACTTTCCACAAAATATAGCTGAACTTTCAACTCTCTTAACCTCTTAGCTCACTCAGTTACCAGAACCCTATTACTGGTACCAAAGATTTATTACTAAAATATCATGGTTATTTTACCACACACAATAGTAATCTAAAGAGATTGACAGGTAAATCACCACACAAAACATAAAAAATACAGACTAACTCATAACTAATTCAAAACAGCTAGAAAACAGCAAACATCCATCTGAAATATTTGTATCATTATAAAATAAAATTGTATATATGCTCTCTGCAAATAAATATATGAAATGGAGAATACAATATCAATTTTTTAGGATGGGGACGCCACTATTTTAACCCAAGGATGAGTGGCGCGATCTTGTAGTCTATAGTCTAGTAGTGTTAATGAATAAGGCCGACATATTTCTTGGACACAGCTGTTAATTAATAGACCATACAGCTAATGGCAACTAAGGGACCTACAGTTTATGGTGGAATCCAAACCACATTTTTGCCTTGGAATTAAGGAATTGGTCTAATTATCAGGATAGTACTGCAGATAGTTGTAGTACTCACTAGTGCGGACGTTAATCCACACCAGGGAGGATCACATCCACAGTGTATGCCTATAAATATCCACAATTCGTGACCTCCTATATGCTGGATTATAAGTCAACGCCACCATCCCAGTCTATTAAAGAGTGAATCATTTCTATCAGTTAAAACTGAAACTAGAGTTTTTGTGATGCGACAATTACTGGGGTTGATTAAATTGAAATAGGAAATGAAAACTATTCACACTATTATTTCTTTATTTATTACAATCTATTAATATTCTGTCATAATGTTAAAACTTACCAGTTTCGTCAGCTATTTGTTTAAATGAAAAGTCAAGAGGAGGAACTGCCCAAGATACTTTAGAGTGTTCTTCAGTAGGTTCTGCCATGAGGAAATAGATGCTCAATTTGGGCCAAATAGAATCAAATTCCTGTTTTTATTTCAGATGTCATTATTTTAGTAGGTAAAAATAGTACCTAACCAACATATACAATACTTGGAAGTTTATTTACATTTCTTGAGCAAATAACATAAAAGTTTAATTGATAAACGTATAATAGTTTCATTCTCAATTTTTGGTTTGGTACTTTCGTATTATACGGAGGCCACCCTTATATAGCGTGCTGCGGCGGTTATGTTAGGTTGGGTTACGATACTTGCTGTTTAGGTAACGATACCAGATAAGTCATACTTTCAATCCCCTCCAAGTAAGCCAAGGTCAGGTCATTGACCAGCAGAGTGTGCACGTCACCTGTCAGGCCTGTATCTGGGTCAGTCCTGAGTGATGACTCATCTGGTATCGTTTGATTCATAAAGAAACGAGGAAAGTCCTACAAGCATATTTATGATATAACCCAACCTAACATAACCGCCCTAGCACGCTGGATACCTACTTGGCGGATTATTTGTGGCAGCTACCGGTGGGGGACGCATTCAACTCAATCCTTGCCAACATCGCTGCCTTCTGGGAGGCAGAACTCAAAGGCCGCTAATCGTAATCATGTCAGTTTCAGACAGTAAGTCAATTTAAGTATGTTTTTTCCAATTATGTAGTTATTTTTGGTCTCCGGTAAAAAAATCCCTCTAAAATAAGTGGCTTCCATATAATACGAAAGTACCTTTGGTTTTGCTATCAATTTTCAATTTTAAATTCAAATGATTTGTATATTTTATTATGAATATTCAAAATTAAAAACTTGACTTTTACAATCTGGACTAGACAGAAAATACTAATAGATGAATATAAATACTTACATAGTTTATACCAAAAATTTTTAGCCTTAAATTTTGCAATCAGTTGTCATAGTTTTATCTCTTTAAAGTATGTTTTAAAAAAATACCCACGCCTCAGCAAACCTGCTTTTTAAGCGGATTTCCATTTGTCTGAATTGATTTTCAATAAAATCTATTTAAATAAAATTAGGTTTAACAAGTACCTAGGTTTGCTGCTACAAGAAAACTAAAAGTGTGTTTTTTAGTAAAATAAATAGCTGAGTATAAAATAAATAAATTTCCGAAGTTTGGTCAAAATATATGCATAAACAAGCAAACTACAACATTTTACAATACTCTCCGTAAGAATAACATAGGAATTTTAAATTTACATTTTTTTGAATTTTCTCCATTGCCAATAGCTTAACTGTAACAAATCACTTTGATATACTAACTTATTTGTTTTTTTAAGCTCTTTAATAGAGAGAAATTAGGAAATTTTAAAATTATAATAGTTGTTTAGCCTCTGGATTACTGTATTATACTTAAAATGGTTTACAATACCTATACATATAGTAATCCTTTGTTGTAATCCAAAGGATTACTAATATGCAGGTATTGTAAACCATTTAAAAATTTTATATTTTGGAGGGTCAAAAATGAAAACGACCAATTTTTACCCCATAAAACCTCCTGTTTCCGTGGTCCGATCATACTGGTTCACGAACTCATTCAAGTTTATCTCACCTTACACCTTCAAACCAAATTTCATCAAAATTGGACAAAAATTACCCAAGTTATCGCGTTCACGGACATATATATATATATATATATATATATAAAATACCCCCGCCGCAGCAAACCTGCCATCTAAGCGAATTTCCATTTGTCCGAATTGATTTTCAATTGATCTATTTAAATAACATTAGGTTTAACGAGTACCTAGGTTTGCTGCTACAAGGAAACTAATAAAGTAGTGTGTTTTTAGTAAAATATTGATAGCTTACTATAAAATAAATAAATTTGCCAAGTTTGATCAAAATATATCCATAAAGAAGCAAACTACAACATTTTACAATATTCTCCATAAGAATAACATGGGAATTTTAAATTTACCATTTTTTTTGTTTTCTCCGTAACCAATAACCGTACAAAAACACTTTGATATACTGAATTGTTTGTTTTTTTAAGCTCTTTAAGAAGGTTTAGAGAAAAATTGGGAAATTTTATGTTTTGAGGGTAAGAAGTGAGAAAAACCAATTTTTACCCCATAAAACCCTGTTCCCATGGTCCGATCATGCTGGATCGCGAACTCATTCAAGTTTATCCCGCCTTACACCTTCAAACCAAGTTTCATCAAAATCGGATAAAAACTACTCAAAGTTATCGTGTTCACGGACACACATATATATATATATAAATCTATATATATATATATATATATATATATATCTATATATATATATCTATATATATATATATATACACATATATAAAAATTTGAACGAATGGTGTTTTTGGCCTCTGGGGACACTAAAATGAAAAAGTAAATCGGTCCCGGGCCTAAGTCTTACCATGAGACCTACGGTAATAGCTACTTCCCTATAGGGAAATTCGCTAATAGGTATTATTGTGATAAGGGCTACTTTACATTAGTACCCTTTAACTCATTTTAATTTATAAACGACTAGTTTCTACACTAAGGACATAGTCATGTTGACATTTTATATTGTATAAATATTTTTGTTATTGTATTTGTATGAAATGTAAACATGACCTTAGTGTAGAAACTGGTTGTTAATAATAATTAAAATGAGTTAAAAGGGTACTAATGTTTTGAATACTAATATACACTATATATTATTAAATATTTAAGTAAATACAACTGAGCACCCTGTATATTATCAGTTGTACTTATTTACTTAAATATTTAATATATCAGCAGCCCTTACGTGAACACATAAATTAATACTATATATTATGTATATACAAGGTGGTAAAAAAGTCCCTGGACAGTTAAATATTTTAAAAAATAATGTAGATAGAGCTACAATACTTGGTACAAAGTTACAGGGCATAAAACTCTATTTTAACACATATTCAGTGATCCAATAACTCTTCAGGGGGACGGCCCACAAGGAGTCGGAAGAAAATCTTAAATGGAAGCATAGGTCAATATGCACATCAAATTAAAGGTCTTTTTTAGTAGAATACAATGCCGCAAACCGCACTTTAAAAGGTTGATCCTGCGCAAAATGGCAGATGTTCAAAGATTTCTTGAATCCGCCATTTTGAATCTTTGAACGACTGCCATTTTTTACTCAGGCATTCTTTTGAGCTTGAACTTACGGCATCGTAATCTACTAGTGAAGACCTTTAATTTGATGTGCATATCGACCTATGCTTACGTTAACAATTTTCTTCCGATTCCTAGGGTTGTGCCCCCTGAGGAGTAAGCGTATAATAGCAATGTTAATTAAATGAATCTTTGAACAACTGTCATTTTGCGCAGGATCAACCTTTTGAAGTGCGGTTTGCGGCATTGTATTTTACTAAAAAAGACATTTAATTTGATGTGCATATTGACCTATGCTTCCATTTAAGATTTTCTTCCGACTCCTTGTGGGCCGTCCCCCTGAAGAGTTATTGGATCATTGAATATGTGTTAAAATAGAGTTTTATGCCCTGTAACTTTGTACCAAGTATTGTAGCTCTATCTGCATTTTTTTTTAAATATTTAACTGTCCAGGGACTTTTACCACCCTGTATACATATATAAACATTTCAACAAATGGAGTTTTTGTCCTCTGGGGACATCAAAATGAAAAAGTAAATTGGTCCCGGGCCTAGGTCTTACTGTAGGTATATATAGTCAATGGTCTTATTGTGCCACCTACGGTAATAGCTACTTCCCTATAGGGAAATTTGCTAAATATAAGTATACTTCACTACTGGTCCAGAAAGGGAACAAATTCAAGGCAAGATAGAGGTTTGTGAGGGAGGTAAAGCCAAGGAAGTGCAGAAAAACCAGTGTAGCTCCAAAATGGGACTCGAGTAGTGACAGATACTTCTCATCACAATGCAAATAATCACACACAGCTTTTTGGTTTTAAATAAGCTATTTGCTTTACCCATGATTTGAGAAGAGAATAATGTTGCTCTTTAAATCCTCTGTAATAGTATATTATGTTACTAGTCCTGAAAAAAGGTGTTTACCAGACGAGAGTGGTCGTTCCCGTGCGGGACTACCATACAAGTCCGATAAACACATTTTGGACGAGCAACTCTTGGTAGGTACCTAATAATAGTTGTGCTAAGAATTTATTTTTGGCTCTAGAGGAGGGTATATGTATACAGCATTTAGAAGATAATACTCCTGCCGCAGCAAACCTGCAGACTAAGCGAATGTCCATTTACTGATTTGGTTTTCAATTAAATCTATTAAAGTAAACATTAGGTTTATCGAGTACTTAGGTTTGCAATAATAGGGAGGCTGATAAAGTCTGTATTTTTTTTTGTAAAACATTAATAAAAAACTCTCTAGTACGAAATAAGCAATTTCCATCCTTATTTGTTCTTATAACTGAAAATATTCTGCTGTTACCATTCTATTTTTCTTGATTGAGATTAAGGCCATATTTTAGTATCAACAGTTATTTTAAAGATAGCAAATTTTTAATGGCCGCCATTTTGGATTGGTAAAATTTAAAAATCTGATACTTTGTGCAACTTGTACAAAGTTTCAAGTCAATCACTTAAGGAGTTAGAAAGTAATGAATTAATTTGTGAAAATCACATATACACACACAGACAGAAATTGTAGACCCATGTTTATATGGTGCATTTTTTTTAGCGAATTTCCCTATAGGGAAGTAGCTATAACCGTAGGTGACACGGTAAGATCTAGACCCGGGACCCATATGCTTTTTCATTTCTTATAAATGTGTATATTTATACATACCTATATAAACATTTTAACGAATAATGTTTTTGGCCTCTAGGGACGTCAGGTGGCGTCCCCATCTCAACGATTGATTGATTGATCAAAATGAAAAAGTATATCGCTCCCTGGTCTAGGTCTTACTGTGCCACCTGAAGTAATACTAATAGCATAGCTACTTCCCTATGGGGAAATTCGCTAAAAACACACTTTATTACACTCCCCACAGCAGCAAACTTAGGAAATCATTAAACATAATGCTATTTAAATATATTTAAGTGAAAATCAAATCCAGAAAATAGAAATTGGCTTAGTCTGCAGGTTTGCAGCGGTGGGGGTATTTATTTACATCTGTGTATGTATGGTCGGTCTGGAGTATATTTTTGGCATATGAGGATTTTTGCGTTGTTATGTTATTCGATTGTATTATGATTAATACTGTGTATTTCTTCAAACAGACATAGCGAAAGGTTTACCAAAGACTTAGGAACAAAACAAAGTGCATAGTCAACATTAAGCCACACACAAGAAGCTAACCTGCTGAGCCAGGGATTTTTATTACGTCTTATTGATGTCATAATTTTAATTTTACTTGTTTGAACACCAGAAATCCACATGCTTATTTTCTAACCCAAGCTACATAATAATACCACCGCTGCAGCAAACCATCAGACTATGCGAATTTCAATCTACTTGGCTGGAATTCCACTAAATTATTCCTTTAAAATTGTCAGATTTATTTCCTATTTAAATATCATTAATGTTAATGAGTACTTAGGTTTGCTGCTACAGGGGAGAAAATAGGGGATTTTTTTTAAATATTGATAGCTTAGTATGACGTAAAGCAAATTTTAAAATTTCATTAAAATATGTCTATTGACAAGCAAGATACAACAGTTTAATTATTCTCCATAAGAATAACATGATATTTTAAAATTTAGACTTTTTTAGGATTTTTTCCGTAACCGTTAGACATTGTTCAAACAAATGCTTCAAAATATTAATTTTTTTTAGCTCTACAAAATAGTTTGGAAAGTAATTGCAAGATCTTATAAATGTAGGTTTACACGTTTTTACAAAATTTCATCAAAATCAGATCATTTTTGCTCGAGTTAACGGACACACACACATTATATATGAATTTGAACGGATGGTGTTTTTGACCTCTGGGGACCTCAAAACGAAAAAGTAAATCGGTCCCGGGTTCAGGTCTTACCATGAGACCTATGGTAATAGCTACTTCCCTATAGTGAAATTGCTAAAAGCAACAATGTAACTTGTTAATTTATTTTTAATACTAGTAATCCTCAAAAACTATCAAGATTGATTATTAAGGACTGAATAAATAACACCAGATGCACTTTTTACTCAAACAGTAATCACAACACAAAGAATATAGTAGTAACATAATAATCTCATAATAAAAACTAAAACCATAACAAGTTATAGTAACCAAATACTTTTGAAAAATAACAAATATTTCTTAACTAATTGTTTAAAATTCAGTTTTTGTAAACATACAAATTCAACAAGATAAATTTGAACGAGTATTAATCAACATAACTAGTTGGTCTGTGAAATGAAAACTTAAGAGACTGGATTTTAACTGTTCGGCCTTCTAATTTAAAGTTTTAGTTGCTCAACCCAGAACATTATGTGATGTGTACCAGGGCCGTCCCTAGGGTTGGCGTCGCCCGGAGCAAACGTGGTTGTGGCGCCACCTCCCCCCCCAGTAATAGTTGCATATATTTTAATACTATTTTAATACAATAATAGCCGCTTGGCGCCCCCACTGCCACGGCGCCCAGGGTAGCTTGCCCCCCCCTTCGGACGGCCCTGATGTGTACTGATTGGCAAGAGTTTATATCCAAGTCAAATTGCTAACAGTTAAATCTAAAAACTCTAGCATTCTAAACTACCTGTATTATAAGAAGTTACCAGCCAATGTATTGAAATTTCTGTAGGGTTATTAAATTTATGTTAACTGTATTTTGTACGGCAAATTTTTTGCCAGCAGTAATTTTATCAAATTTGTCTATATTAAGTTCAATACTGTTTTCATTCAACAATTTCTAGACTCTTTAACAAAACCCCACACATTTTAAGGACTGTTAGAAAACAAAATTTAATCAAATAAAACTACAAGTAATATTGCTTTTATTTATACAAATGACCTTAATGTTTGACAGCTATGCTTAAGATAGAAACCAACTAAATATGTTAGGTACTATTTTTACAGGTTTGTATAAAAACTATCATGGTCACAGTCAACTACGGCTATTGTTTTTATGAAAATACTAGCTGGCCCGACAGACGTCGTCCTGTCCTATTGTGGTTTTATGTCACATGCTCGTTCATTTTCAAGATGAGCTCGTTCGCATGGCTCAATCACGTCCTGGTTGAAGTTCGTTCGCTACGCTCACTCACCTTTAGGTTGGAGCTCGTTCGCTGCGCTCACTTGCCTTCAGGTTAGCTCGTTCGCTACGCTAACTCGCCTCCGTTGAAGTTCGTTCGCTACGCTCACTCACCTTTTAGTTGCAAATTAGCTGTTCACATAAATTAAAAATAAATATAGTGCTGCACCCTGTTGGTAAACCTATTAACTTGTTAATGCTATTGAACATCACAGAATCAAATTGTTTAGTTGCACCAGCTGTTAAGATTCTTTAATTCCATTTAAATATGAGTACTCATAAGGTTAACATGGGAAACTCCAGAGCCACTGGGGTGGAGCCCTATTGACGGATCTGCACCAAACTTCACACAAACCATCCTTGAATGATGCTTAATAATGCCTGAAAGTTTCATTACAATCTGTCGAGCGGTTTTGGAGTCCATAAAGGACAAACATACAAATATACAAACATACAAATATACAAACATACATTGGATTTTATATATATAGATAAGTAAGAAGGCACTGTTTATACAATAGTTAAAGAATTATAGCAAATAAAACCTTTGCTTTTTGTCAACATTTGTTTGTTTTTGTAAAATATATATATATATATGAAAAGACATAAAAATTACATACAAAAAGTAAAGTGAATGAACTCAATATTTGAGATTCTATCAATGACCATAGAGAATACAAATCAGAGGACACTTCAATAGTACACACACACACAAACTGTTTTCGAGCCTAACAGTTCTACTCAATTGTGTCTATTCAAGATGACAGTTTTTTCCTGGTCATACATTCTCTTCTTATGAACAAAACTGGTTAATGATACCATAATTCTCTACATTAAAACTATTGCAAGGCTTTAATAACTCCTCTTATTTAACACATTGAGTGAGGACTGGCCAGTGGCCAGTGGCCAGGTCCCACTGAATAAAGTATAAGTGTATAAGCTATTTATATGACAAAACAATATATTTTTCCTACAGTCACCCACAAAGTTGGCTTCCTTGTACTGTTTATAGTACAGAAAACTGCTAATTTGCTGCATATTTATACTTTGTCGTACAGTTTATACTTCAACGCACATCAGAATTCCAACGAAACAACACAAAACAGCGTGGTTCTATTATGCACGTAATCCGTGTACGCTTGGAAATAGGTTGGCAACACTTAAAGATAATAATACTATGAGCAGCTGACTGACTATTATAACTACGATTTAACCTGTCATTTCATGATTATAGTTTCGGTATTTCTGAACTTTCTAGACTTTTCTTTTAAACGTTTAAACGTTGTTTAAAACATTGCTAAAATCTTAATAAACAAGAAAATACCTTTAAAGCATTTTTTTAGGCGCCGAAACCCCTTCAAGCGGAGTGATACGGACCGGTGACTACTTTCTCTAGGGCACCTATTTGTGTTGCCAGCTGAACCTAAAAACGTGTTGTATAGTGTTTGAAAGACTAATTATTTATATGCTTTATAGTGACTGTAGGAAAAATATAATGTGTAACACGAGTGCAAAAGGCCTTTGCTGCACTCGAGATCATTCCGCACTCGCCTGCAGCTTGTGCGTAAACATTGCTCTCGTGTGCAGCCAAAGTGCCACTTTGCTCACTAGTTACACAAATAACTATTATTGTTAATTATTTTAGTTTATTTGCTTTTTCTTTTTCCAATACAAATTGTGTCCAAAATCGCCAGTCACTCAGACTGAAGCATCATGGCCGAACAATCTTAAACAAACTTAAAGACAACCGGAAATGACGTCCGGTCCCTGGAAAAGTAAAACCACGATGTACGATGCCGCAAAAATGGACGTCAATTCTGCTTATTCCTATCACGAGCTTTGTGATAGGTGGTCTCATTAGTGGAGTCATTGCGAACTGTGCTATTAGTGTTCCATTGTGTGAGCTGTTCACACTACACCTTTTATAGACTATAGGTTTTGTGATTGGTTATTATTTGCATGTTGTATCATGACTTGACTATTATACAGTGCATCTTTTTTTACTGCTACCCTCTGTAGTGTATTCCAAATTAGGTTAGACATTTGTGTATTGTTAGTTGTAATGTGTTAGTTACGTTTTTTTCACCTGAGGACGGTATCAGATTCCAGATCCCAAAACGTTGTGTATTAACTCACCATCACGAACAATGAACTTCAAACAAAGAACTCCATTTTTGGAGTTCTTTTGGAGTTCACAAACATTGTTTTTGACACCAAATATGATAAATATAACTTTAACTAATATTTACGATTATATACAGCCCCTTTCTCCCTCCCAACAATTGTTTATTTCAGTCACTGTGAATCATGGAACTGGACTTTGGTATATAGAAAGGGGCTGTATAATTGTAAATATTGGTTGTAGTGCTATTTAACATATTTGGTGTCAAAAACTGCGTTTGTGAGACCAAAAATGGAGTATTTTTGTCACGGTGCCCGCAAATATTATTGCACAGGCCAGCCGAATCACCCATGACTGGCGATTTTAAACACAAATTTTATTGGAAAAAACAGCTCAAAACCCTATTTCCGACCTGATCTGGATCCTCACTTCTGGGAACAAAAGGTAAGATTTTATGTAAAAACAATTTCATGGTCTTGGGGAAGCACCCACTGATATTTTCACTCAATGTGTTAACAGTATCCTCTGATCCATATTCTCTGAGTAATCACACAGTGAGTACCAAACAGCTAATACTACAACAATACTTATAAAATTAAAATGTATCCAGAAATGTTACATTTGACTTCCTGTACATCGCAAAACATTAAAAAAGGTACTGTTTTTCTGCATACTTATTCAACCAGAATGTCGTAATACGATTAATAGTGTAGTACAGATAAAATAATTTGTTTTCAGTTTTTATCAAATGAGTTGATACATAATTCAACACTTGACATAACAAAAATATATAGGTATCTAATTAGGTGTATAAGGGTAGGCCTACATATTAAAATATGTATGTTGTGCATTATACCTAAAACCATAATGTATAAAATTCCTGACTTCCACAAATAAGTAAGCTACATACAAAAAAGTAGTAAATAATAGATCTGTGTTAACATAAAAACCTATGAGAAAACCAAATTATTGAAATACTTCAATAGAATAACATTTTAATTTAGAACAAATAATATCAAACAAGTATACAAATCTGTAATACAAAAATTATATTGTATTCCAAAAACATAAACAATATAAAGTAAAATACATTTTAAAATCCACTAACTTAAAAATCATTAAATAGGTGAGATTATTATTTGATTAGTGTTACACAAATTGAGTAAGAATATTATCATGAATACAACTCTTAAAACAAGCACATAAACATGCTATTCATACTTATAATCACAATCTGAAACAAATGTTTTAGAATATGGTTTAATACTGAATTTATACAAAGCATACAGACAGAGCAAGTTATATTTTCTAATAACTTATCACTTGACTAACTTAATTTTATAAAGTGTTGGTAGGTATAAAATACATTATTTTAATTGTAAGAAATAATACAAATTATTGTCATATCTGAACTGGATATTATGATAAGTAACCATTGGTTTAGTTTGTACTCCATAAAGGACTTATTGTTTACTTACACACATTAATTTAATCTTCAATTGTTCAAATGTTCACTAATAGAAAAAAAAAATTAGCCAGACATAAAAAAATCAACTGTAGACTTGTCTACATAAGCCAATGAAAGAGTATATTAAGCTTAATACTGTAGGTATAAAACTATAATCTTGATGTTAGAGTTATATTTGGTATTATCTAGTAATGTTTGTGCTTTCTCTAAATGTGTGTGCCTAAGACAGCCTTATAGTTTACAAATAAATTAATTGATTATTTCTTGACATATGTAATGTTATACTGTATAACGGTTATTATCACAAGGAGGATTAGTTTTTACAGAGATTAGAGAAGAGTTTTTGTTTTCATCAAGCTATATCTTTACATTTGAAGTATCCATAGCAAGGGGTCTCCAACCTCCAGCCGGTAATAGATTGTTTTGGCCTGCCTAAAAGTAGTGTAGACAACTAAAAATTAATATTTTTTTATAGTGTTGGCTGAAGATTGTCTCTCACAATCGCGGCAAAACTCGTGACAATGCCTTGCGGCCTCAGTGATAGCGTGATCGTCTCTCGCGAACATGGCAGTACTCGTGACAATGCCTTGCGGCCTCAGTGATAGCGTGATCGTCTCTCGCGAACATGGCAGTACTCGTGAGCATTTTACGGTCTCAGGAATACCATAATTGTCTTCCACAATGACGATGTCATACAACATTAAAAGAGAACCAATTTTACACCGCCGACAAAATGGATTCAATGCTTTTTACCACCATTCTAAAATTCAAATTTAATATTCAAGGATTTTTATTTTTCAGCCATCAAAATTGATGAACAATTTTTAGTTTCCAGGTCAAACAACCTATTAAGATTTTTTTATATTAGGTACACATTTCTCACTTGCCACTTTTTTCTCAATAATTGATATCAAATTGTAAAACAACACTGAACTGGTGCCTGCCTTTAGCCTACTCCAACAAATTAAAATGGCCCCTGAGTAAAAAAGGTGGAGTCCCCTGAACTATAGAATAAGCTTTAGACACTCCCTTTCTAGCTAATATATCACTATTAAACTGTAGATAAAATAATTACATGAATACAAGAGCAAACAAACTAAACAGCTAGAAAACCACAAAGGCTTTCTGACATCAACACAAATTTAGAAGTTATTATCACAGTAGGATTTTATCTGACGTATAGAGACTATTTATCCTCAAGATCATTAGAGAAAGAAAGACTAGAGGCAAAGGAAGATAAGTATCGAGGAAGCATTGACAGAGAAAGATTTTTTAAATAGATTTAAATCTTATTCAATAATATTAGCTTGATTCGAAAACCAGGCAGCTAGTAATTTAAGTAAAAACGTATTTAAACAATGTTATCAATAGTAACACCAAACTGTTTTCTACTATTTTGACACATTCAAATAAATAATGTAAGACAAGATATGACATTACAAAGATAAGACATAACGACATAACCAAACTTGAATGTTTGCTAAACTGTTAAATAAGATTCCGTCCCACTTTATACTATATATGTATAGCATATATCAAGTAAATACTTTTAGGATTAGTTAAACCATTAAAGTAAAGAATGATGTGAGTTCTTTTTTAATAGATAGAAGATAAACCTAGTGAACATCGATTCTAGGCCAATGAAGAACATATTATATACCTATAAATATTTGGGATCAGAGCCACTTTGATAAGTTCTTGGGCCCAGGAGCGCAAGAGGTTTTGGGTTTGTTGGAGCGCAAGGAGGAAAAAGATTTACCCTCAAGGTAGGTGGAGAGGGGCACAATCATTGCTTGTGCTTATAAGCGCATCACATGCAAATCGTGTGCCTGTCGCCTGTCCAGGGCTAGAAAATGATTTATATTTCATAGGTTAAGTAAGGCTCATAAGTAGAAAACCAGGTTGATACTAAAAATGCTTACTACTGTAGTACAAAATAACCTAACTATTGAATACTCCAATGTACTCCATAGAAGTGATAATTATGTTTTAAAAACATAATTAAGATCACATTTCAGGACGGTTACAATATTAATAAACACATGAAATTTAAGTTTTTTAAAGATAAAGTAGCTCACATGAAAAAATTAGAGACCAGGAGCTTTTGGATGTACAAAGAAAAAGGTTAGATCTGTGGTTTTTATCCATAAGCTATCTCTTTGAACTGTAATTTTTTCATGCAAGCTCACTGAACACTATCCATAAAAACTCCTTGATTAGCCATATTGTGTGACTAATGTCAATCAAATATAAACTAAAATGAATTTAAGTATAGTTTCTAGATTTTAAATCTAAATCTATCAATAAAAATAAATGCCGCACCCATAGATCCATGAAGTACTTAAACAAGAAAACTTTCTCTTAAATTAAATGGTCTTGCAGTTTGACTGCTCTTAGTTTTCATCTGGATAGACTTTTCCGATATCCCTAAAAATACACATAATTATTAACTCTCATAAAAATGTTATTGTTAGCTCAAATACCTGAAAAACATGGTAAAAATGTTTTGCAACTCTTGGTTTAAAAGTTTTATACAGTCAATCTTGGGAATGATATTTTTTTTCACGTCTGTACCAAATTTCATAAAAATCGGATGACTTTTGCTCGAGTTATCGCGCTAACGGATACATATATAAATATATATGAATTTGAACGGATGGTGATTTTGGTCTCTAGGGACCTCAAAACGAAAAAGTAAATCGGTCCCGGGTCCAGGTCTTACCATGAGTACTACGGTAATAGCTTATTCCCTATAGGGGAAATTTGCTAAAACATAATATAAGTCATCAAAAATGTGTATAATTTTAGCTTACTAAAAGATAATAAAAACACTTGTAAAACGAATATAAAGATAGTTTATCTGTCCCCAGGTAATGAAATAAGTTGCACCTTGTGACATAGGGCATCAGGAGCAGACAGATATGTAAAACGGAGTAGACGATTATCAGCACAAGCGTTGAATGTCACATTTTTATTTTATTTTCATCAAAGGAACAGTGGTTTTCTAAAATAATAATGTGGAGGGTTCGTTATATAGAGGGAAAGACGCAACAAATTTGTTAAGTAAGAGGTTAAATTCAATATGTAGATATTCTGAAAAATATAAATTTAGATTGGCAACAATCAAGCCGCATCGTTGGAACGAGGAAGATGGCTTTGTAGACTCGTGGGACATGGGGAGGGGGGGGGGCTCCTTGTGAGGCATGGTGTGAGACGTTAATTAATTTAGTTCCAATAAACTTATTCTTTGCATACTCCAGCTACCAACAACATTAATCTAATTTCTAGTGTCAGCATTTTAATTCCAGTATTACTTCAATTAATACTTCACGGTGTCCAGTCACTTGATCTGTAATTATTATATTCGTTGAAGGATAATAGTATTTCTGTAGGGAAAATGCATTAATTAGTATTAGCAATCATCAAAGCTGGCTCTTTGGGCCTGTGATTCGTGGTAAACTGAGTCCTTCTGATTAAATTCAAGGGTTGTCATCGTTCCCAACATGAATGGTTATGTTATAAAAGTCAATCAATCGACAATAATCACCAATGTGTTGCCTCACCGCCACAATTCCAAAGTTGTATATGAACCAACAACATACCAGATAAAGATGTCATAGACACTCAACGATATTTAGGCCGACAAGATCCAACTGCACATAAAAGTTAAAATAATCAAAATAAGTTTTTTTTACATAATGTCTTAGGCCTAACTGAACATGCAATATTCGATAAATACATAATAGGGTGGTGTTAAAAGTGATCTTTTTATAGGTTTTAGGTTAAATTTAGACGATATAGGCCTACTCACTTTTCCTTCCATCTGGAGGAGGCGTCTGATGTCAACATATAATCGGCCCAGCTAGCAGGCTTGTGTGTAGGCAACTCTCCCCCGAGTTCAGCTGGCAGCAAATCAGCATTCACTGCCTCATGGAGAGCGGACAAGTTGTTGCCGTACATCCAGATCTGCAATTAAAATAAATACTCATATATTCTCCCCAATAAATAAGGCCTACTACTGTGGTATGATGTATTTAGTAATTGCTCTACCCCAACACCCAAAGTTTCTCTCCGACTCCAAACTGTTCAAGTATTTAGTAAAAAGGTACCATTTTGAAATACGGATTTTAGGAAAAAGAGGGAAAAAGTAAAAATTTGGAGTTTTTAAGAAATATTTCAAAATTTATGAAGTTTAGCCCAAAATACTTACTGTTCAGTTCTTTCACCTAATATTTTTTATTTAGCCTGTTTAGAATTAATTAGAACAGCTGATGATTTTAAAATGATTCATAATATTGTGCAAATAAACATTCTATTCTGGTTCTTCTTGTTAACATGGCTTACTCATTTTTCTCTCATAATTTTTATTTATCACACACAAACACTCCACACTTACGGTACGTTATATTGTATACAGAAAACGTAAGTAACATTTAAAACAAGAATCATGGTCCTCTTCATAATCTTGCTAAAGTAGATCTTAATAATAATAAAGTTGCAATATGTTAAAAATTAATACCGTACATTTTTAATAGCCTTCTTAGAATGTGTATAAAATTATTGCTTTATCACCATGGTAACTTTGTTTGTATACAGGATTATTTATATTTGTTTTGTAACAATTGCTATCAATTTGTGTGGTTGGAGAGTGTGTGTGGTGGAATAATGGAAGAGTTTTGTTGATAGTGTAGATGAGGGTTGAAACATGGCATTTAGGAAATCGTTACCTAATGAGTGCGTAAAATGTTGGCGAGTTAAAGAAATTAAAGCTTGTGACACCTAAGCTGGCACTTGGCCTAGCGCGGGCAGTTTTGGCGGGAGGAGGGTGGAGGTAGGGAAAAGACCGGACTGCAAACATTTCCGCTGCCTCACGGGGTTGACTCCCCTTGTGTTATGTGCTTGAGCGCCTTCATATGGGTCGCGAGGACAGTTGATGCAACCCGCATCGACGGGACATAATGTTTTTGAAATAGGTACTAGTAGCGATCGGCCAAGTGCCAGCTTAGATGTCACGAGCTGTACTGGGCAGGTTAATTAACCGAGGAATTAGGAAAGGCTGCAACTGTATATTTTAAAGGAAATGGTTTTACCCTGAGGCTGATCGTGCCCATTGCCGTAAACGCCTTTTGATAAGCTGGGATTAACTAATTTATAGCATGAAAACCTTATAACTATACCAATACCACCTGAAAAGAGTTGCATTATGGAATACTTGGGTATTGTAATTACATAATAAATTCCATTTCACTATGGAATACTGAATTCTTGACACAGGTAATCTTTGGAGGGAATGAATTACTCAGATTTACAGGAGAGAACTACTGATCAATTTAGTACCATGTGATTTTGTGACATTATGTCTCTAGAAAACTTTGATGGGGAAACAACGTTTTAAACTCCAAAACTACATCCTAAAACCCTTGGTTTTTCCCCGGAAACCCCTAACTAAAGCTAAACAAACTATATGTGATGATGAGGAAAGCGAATAGGTACCTCTTGTCGGGAATTTTTGATTTTGAGTTATATATTTATATTTGAATTCTGTATTAAATTCCGAATCACTTGGTGCAAGTCCCATGCATCTACGATTTATTTGGTTAAAGTTATAGGATTTTGAAATTTTGTTATAAAAAAGGGTCATTATGAGAAAAACTATTAAAAAAGTTCTAATACGCAAAAAATAGTTGTATTCTTTGGAGTATAATAGGGAATGGGGGAGATAGATTCAACCGATCAGATTTTGTTACGTTTATCTTGACGAAAGAAGAACGATGAAACACGCAAAAAAAGTTATATTTAATGTAATTGGCAGAATGGTTTGAATTCATACATTCTTTATTAATTTAAGCTGGAAAGGGCTGACTTTATGAAGGAAATAATTGAGGATTTATCAAAAGAATGGTTGGCTAAAAAAAGTGTTCCAGCAGAGGTAGGAGGGGGTGGGGATAGTGTTGAAGTTGCTCAAAATTTGGGCTATGGACTAAGAAAAATTCCTGATGGTAAGGAAAGAGTGTGCAAATTGTGCTCATGAAAACCATCCCGAAGGGAAAAGGCGGAGATCGAGGACAGTGTGTGTGCGGTGTGGGGCGCTCGTACACCCAGAATGTTTTGTAAATCATGTCTGTTTGTAAAAAAAGACAACATGTACATAGTATAAATAGTATATTCAAAAGACTACCTAATGCAAAAGACTAATAGTGTAAAAAAAGACAACATGTACATAGTGTAAATAAAATAGTACCTATATTTAAAAGACTACCTAATGCAAAAGACTAATAGTATTAAATAATATATTCAAGACTAGGCCTGCCTTATGCATTTTGCAAAGTGTTCGAAGTTGGTTTTCTCATACCTGCGCAAATCAACATTTTGGTAAGTTTTTTTTTAAATTTATTTGTATAATTTTTATAAATAATACTATTTGCATGAAATTTTTAGGATTTATTCACAGCAATAGCCTATATATTTTTAATAAAAAAATTGATATCATTACTTCAAAATTTGTGTATGGTTTTATGTAAAAAAAACTTACATATATAGGTAGGTACTCTCTAAATATTTTAATCCATATTTATATATTTGTTATTTGGGGGATTTCATTAGTTACAAAACAAAACAGAGGTTAATAGGCCTACCTTAAAAATTAGGCAAGTTGTGGAGTTTTTCACAAAACACTACTTAAATCACCAATTTCACCCTAGCACTTTTTAGATATTTCTAGAAAAAATACCAGCATTTTTAAGAAAAATAAAAAATGCCTAGCACTGATAGGGTTAAGACTCTATCAGTTACTTGTAATATTTAGGCTATTTGGTTTGGCCTATAGATTCAACAATATTTAAGGGCTTTTAAATAGATTAAAGGTTAGATTTAAACAGATAAATTAAAATCTTTAAGAAAAACAAGGAATAAAAACAGCAATTTTGTAATACAAATACGATGTAAAAAAATAAATACCTTTTCTTTAGTCTTTTCTTTGAGAAAAGGCTTCACAACCATCAGGGCCGCTTCAATGTACCACGGCTGATTTACAAAATGAACTCCCTTGAATCGAGCTGGGAAACAATCCTGAAGACCTTCCACCATTGATTTCAGGACTCTTGGACTTATATTTGTCGACTGTCTGAGAGAAAAGTCAGTCCAGTCCACTATAAACACAAAGCCGTTAATCTGATTCTCTTCCTGCTCTAACAGACGGTCGAGGGTCAGAAGAAGAGACCTGTAGATGACTTCTAGAGAATAGTTTGAGTGGTCCCAGTGGTTGCAGAAGAACACCAGAACACACCGTCCTCGTCTGAAACATTATGTTCAACTGTAAACTAGAACTTGTACATCATACTACATCATATATCATTGTGATCATTGTACAGTAGATATTGTCTTTGTAAACTACTTCTTCTGTTATTCTGTTGATATGGCAATGGATGATTGTTTTTGACTGAGCCAAGTGACTGGTCATCCAGCACAGAAGCTGATTACACCTGTAGTTGATCTTCTAGTTGCCATATCACCTGCAAAATCAGCATCACTACACTATATGGTTAACTTTTGATTCTCAGGCTGTTTGTCATATTTTATTCTATAGTACATTGTGCCTTTCAAATAGCGCATAATTTGTTTCACTGTATCCTAGTGTTCAGAAGTATGGCAGTCCAAGAATCTTGAAAAAGAAAGGGTAAAGCCATCAATTTTCAATAATAGCAAATATAGGACCTTTTCAAAGCAAAGTTACAGACATGAAATCTTTTTTAAATAAGTGTAAATTTAAAAACGTACGTTTTCAAGAAAAGCACTTATAAATTGTTTTTTATTTTTTTTCTAAACGTTTTTTATTTTATTGACATTTCAAGTAAAGGCATTATTAAGCATTATTCAAGGATGGTTTGTGTGATGTTTGGCGCAGTCTGTCAAAAGGGCCCCTTTCCAGTGACTCTGGAGTTTCCCATGTTAACCTTATGAGTACTCATATTTTAATGGAATTAAAGAATCTTAACTGGTTCAACTAAACAATTTGGTTCTGTGATGTTCAATAGCATTAAAAAGTTAATAGGTTTACCAACAGGGTGCAGCACTATTATTTTTTAAAATTTATGACAACAGCTAATTTGCTAATTCAACCTGGAGGCGAGTTAGCGTAGCGAACGAGCTAACCTAAAGGCAAGTGAGCACAGCCAACAAGTTCCAACCTAAAGGTGAGTAAGCGTAGCAAACAAACTTCAACCAGGACGTGATTGAGCCATGCGAACGAGCTCATCTTGAAAATGAACAAGCATTGACATCAAACCACATTAGGACAGGACGACGTCTGTCGGGCCAGCTAGTACAATATAGGCCTAAGCGTTACCTTATAATAAAACGTTACAAAATAAATATACCTGTCAATGTAAACATAGTTTAAAATCTGTTTTTTACATCCTTCAATTAATTATACTGTTATAACAAAGATTTTTGTTGCAATTAAACTAAACAGTGCAATTTACAATGATGTTTAAATTTATTTTCACCACCATAACACAGTTTAATTGATAAAGCTATTGTGATCATGAAATACCCCGTGATGGTCGTGATGCATCGGTCGTGAAATTGTGTATTATTTGGTTCTTTTCTGGTGGCTGCTCTACACCTCTTGTTTGAGGAGGCAAAGTGGATTTCTAGGTTAACGTAGCAATTAAAATAGGCCTATAATAACAACAAAAATTAAGACCATGTCTAATTCATCAAATGACTACGTACGGTCGTGGCACACCAAAATTACAAAAAGCACAAACTTACCTATAATAATCTTGTACTTCTTTTTTTTACTGCAATCCACCAGCACAAAGAAACTAACGCACATCCCAAACCAGTCTCTAAAACCAAATGACGCTATCGCTGCCAGGATTGCCACTGTTGTGTTCTAAAGTTGCAAATTTTGCCCTTATGGTCGGGACATCAAATCGAGGGACAGACTTATTTTGTCATGGTAGTCTTTTTGCAATTAAAACAAAATGTTTGTAACTTATTCCCCTTTTTTGTAAATTTAATAACTATTGATGACATAAAAATATGTCATAATATATTTCGTTATGAGTAATTAGTCTAAAAATAGCGTGAAAGTTTAAAAATGTACCCTAGGGACACGTGATGGTCGTGAATTTCGTGACTTTAAAAATACAAAAAAAAAAAAATACCTAGAACCTATGTAAGCCAAATAAATGTTTGTAACTGTTACCCTCATAACAAAAAATATTAAAACACATAATAATATACTACAAATGTCAAATACTGTATCCACAAAATAAAAGGCCAGGGACATTAAAATGTGTACGTTTCAAAATTTTCACTCAAATATTGTTTAAGCATCACCAACCTGTCTCTGTTAGCCAAAACACCAGGGAAACCATCATACAGAGCTTGTTGTATCAGTGTATCATTGAGATTCATATTGGCAAACAGTGCAGGGTTCTCCTTCCTATACTGGTGATATCTACATAGTAGATGGTAACTTTCTTCTACCTTCATCTTCCGGGCATGCAGAAACCTCAGGAGAAACATGTCTGTCATTTCTGGTAATTCTGAAATCACCAAATCAACACATTCAACACCGAGCAAAACAAGCCACCTTAACAAATGTTTAAAAGAAGCTTGCAGGAAACACTCAGTTTTTTCCTTCATTAAAAACTAATTTGACTAAACAACCCAAACCGACTGAACACATTATGCCAGATTGCAATTTTGCATTCAATGATTCATGCAATATAAGAGTCAATTTGATGTCAAAACGTTTTAATAGGCCTACAGTAAGTTTAAGATTGTTCATAATGGCCTACTAAAAAACTACGTTTCCTTGCAGTATTTTGTGTGCTGAACTTATTTGATTTTGTCAGAAATAAGTTAGCCCTGAACATGCAAAAATGAAGATCAAAATTAGAAAACACAATTGAGTAACTTACAACACTTGTATTTTAACCTTCATGTAAGCTACTGTTTAAAGCTAAATTGTTTAACCTAATTGGTATTTACCTTTGTTAGAGTCAACTTTACTTTTGAGAACTTTTAAAGCCTCTTCTTTCCCCAGAGGAACCTCTTTAGTTGGTGTATAAGGAGCGCTAGAGGGACTAATGGGCACTCTATAACCAGTCCAGTCAAAGTCACAGTACTCCGCCATTTTCTAAAACAGTTTTATGCAATAACTTAATTCTTGTAGAGTTCATTGTAGAGTAGAAAGCATGATTTTGTTCTTTCTAACCTAAGTCAGTGTTTTTGCAGGGTTTGCACTGTATGATATAATACTGAATATTGAATAAGTTTAGGCCTATATTTATTTGTAAAATATTGGCATAACATACAAATTTTGAATGAAACATTCTAAAAAAAAACTTTAAATGGTCCAAATGATTGTTTAAACCTTCTCAGCAGGGTGGATGTTCGAGTTCCTAGAAAAACATGATATTTGGGAAACCTCTCCTTTAGGTAACTTACAACATGTAACTTAGAGCTCTGTTTACCATAACTTAGTATCATCCCTCGTTTGATTTGGGAATGCAATTTTACCTCAGGTTTTCTTTGGACCAACGCTTCCATCCTTCAAAAGTAAAATGTTGTCGCTAAATTTAAGTTAAGCCTATTAATTTTACAGAATAACTTAGGCCTAGGTTTTTGAGGTTAATAAGTTATTTGTTTACGCTGTTGAGATATTATTTCTGTATGCAAATTAAGTTTAACTTATTTTAGCCTATTTGATTAAAATATTGAAATTGCTGTAGCCTACAGGCTAGTAAATGATTTAAGTTAGCTTGTTACCTTAGGCTATCATTCTTTCCTATAATTTTAAATGGTCCGTTCACAAAAATTAGGCGGTTTCACGATTACTAGAAAAATATTTTTCTAGTAAGTAATCGTGGGCGGTTTGAGGGATGGGTTTTGTGGGTTTCCCTACCACTTTTTTAGCTTAGGCCTTATTTTTGAAATGGGAATTTTAATAAAAGTAGGCCTACTTCGTTATAATAGTCCAGCTTATGTTCATATATTAAGTTAAAGTTGAAAAATAAAAAATAAACACTTAAGTTAAGTTATGGGGTTATGATTAGAACATTTTTAAATTATAGACATTTAGACTATAAGAAAAGGATTTCAAAGCTAGGCTTAATTATTACAGCTTCATTGACGAAACCCTAATATTAGGCTAGTTTAGATTTTCATATTTTCTACATACATCAGCCTTAATAATTTCACAAAGTAGCCTAGGCATATGAGTCAAACTATGTCCACTCACTTCACTACTACAGAACTACAGTAGAAGAAGGGCTAAATTGAACCCAAAACATAAGAATTACAACCTTCTGCCTATATTACTATCATCATCACAATCAACAATGAAATGACATGACGACACTGATCATCTGATGACAGTAGACAGTGACAGTTGAGTTAGTTGTTTGTTGTCAAAGTTGAATCATCACATAACAAAACAAAACAACCAAAAACGCAAACCACTGCAAAGCAGTGCTGCAAAGCAAACGCAAAAAAAAAACGCAATCGACTGCGAGCGACTGCGAGACTGCGACGCAAACGGACAGGACAAGAGAAAAAAAAAAACATTGTTCATTTTACTGAAATGCGAATCTTTTACCATGTAACTTAACAGTACACCTTAAGTTCATCAAATTCTAATATTATTATTTATAAAAAAATAACTGAACCCTATGATGAACTAGTTAGCGTTAGTGCCTCGATAAAAAACACACATACTCAAAACAAGCTTTCTTTGGCTTATGTAAAAAAATCAGTTAATCCTTATTCAATGTAGCCTCTTCTTTTCTTGTAAAAAAGACTTTGCTAGAACCATTGACTATCAACTATTGGATCTAGAACGCGTTAGCACACGGCCGCATTTAGCGTCGTTCACACGGGGCGAGTTTGCATAAAAGCTGCTCGCCAGCGTAAGAAGCCGGCAAGTGCGCTTGTAGTCGTTCACACGATGCTTTTTCCACTCGCCCAGTAGCTGGGCTGGCTTGAACCAAATCCTCCGACATCCTCCTACGGGTTCCGCCCATAAGCTGGCGAGTAGGCGTGTAAAATAGCCACAGAGTCAACTTTTTCCAGAGATTATTTACAAGCAGCTTTTGAGTGATTTTGACACTGGTCGTCTAAGAGGATGACTTCTTGAAAGTCGAAACTAGTTGTTGTTATATGACCAGTAATTCATTGGTTAAAGCTCCAATATATTTAAAAGAACGTTTGCTGAGAGACTATTTTTTACTTATTGCTTAATGACTGTTTTGTTTTCACAAGTTATTTCTATGGGTTTCATGTGTGTTTTAATTGTTTTATAAATAAAACTAGCTGAACCCGGCAGACGTTGTCTTGCCTTTGACTATTTATAATTTAAGTACCGTAACGCTTAATTGTCTTATCGTATATGAAGTGCTTATAACCAAATTAAAATACGTATGGCATCTAATGAAACACATATAGTACAAAGAATAACCGATTCTTTATTATTGCTCTTATATTAATGCTAGTGGGTAGACAATATTTTTGGTCTTTCTATTCGGCTCAATCTCGTCCTGGTTGAAGTTCGTTCGCTACGCTCACTCACCTTTAGGTTAGCTCGTTCGCTATGCTAACTCACCTTTTGGTTGCAAATTAGCTGTTGTCATATGTAAAAGAAATAATAGTGCTGCACCCTGTTGGTAATCCTTGTAACTTTAATGCTATTGAACATCATAGAACAGAACCAACTTGTTTAATTGAAACAGCTGTAAAATTCATTAATTCCATTTCTCATAAGGTTAACATGGGAAACTCCAGAGCCACTGGGGCGGAGCCGATTGGACGGACCACGAAATTGATGGTGTATAAACCTATTCCATGAAATTCTACACGTATGTACCAAGTTTCGTGGCAATCGGTTCAGCGGTGTCTGAGTTTATCACTGCCAAATATACAAACATCCTCTTTTTGACCGACTTCCCCACTACCAACAAAAGGAGGAGGTTCTCAATTTGTTTGTGGCGATGTTTTTTTTTCTATGTATGTTCACCAATTTCTCTGTGATTCTTTTACCGATCAGTGTGGTTCCACCACCAAAATAACCAGGAGAGTTTCTATTTGGTACCTTATATATTATGTTTAAGTATAATATTTGTTTCGGTGAAAAATTCTGAAAACCTTAAATATTCAACATTTATTTTGTTTACATTTGTGCAGAGAAGGCAATAAATAATAATAACATTCCTACAGCTGTTAGTTGAAACCATTTAAATGAAGCTACAGACAATTCTTCATGAAACAGTTGCTTCATATTGATCAATAAACTATTTCTTGCCATGGAGCCTAAATGAATTACATTGAGAAAAATGCATTTTGTTTTGGTTACTATAAAAAATGTATTTTAACGTTTGACCTGATTTGTGTATATAGTAATTCTGTTTTTAGTATTGAATATTCTGACTTACAAAAGCATGTTTCAGTGAATAGCTGTATGATATTGACAAATAAAGGTGTATTGTGAACACCAAAGCATTCGTAAAACAGGTCTAAATATAAATTAAATGCAATTATTCCTTACACGACCTAAGAAGTGTGACAGTGCATAATCATCAATTGTCTTAAAAGTGTTAAATATTTTAATTACTAAACATGCATTTGCAGATGTTGAATGTTTATTGATATTCTCTACCGAGTTACTATATCATATCAATACTATTATGCCTGTTTCGGAAAGTCCTAGAGGAAGATGATTTGCAATTTCGACTAGGCTATATCATAGACTAACCAACACAAGAAGACTTCTCATCCCATTGTAAATTTTGAAGCACGTTTTTCGTGTCTAGTTCATGTACGTGACACAAAGGCGCTAGTGTCGACGAAACTTTGTTTCTATTATTTTAGGGTTAATTTCTTGATTTGTGCTTTACTGTTTGGTTATATAACTAGGGGACAAGTTATTGTTTATGATTAGATCGTATAATTTGGTTAAACGAGGTTTTAAATGGCTGTAATATCGGGAAACAAATTGTAAACAAAACACGACCTCTGCAGAAAACCGTACAGAACTAACAATAAAATTGGCTTCAGCTGTTCCATAAGGATGGGAAATCTACTAAGGGAGTATGTTTTATCTATGGCTATATCTTGAGCAAACAAAACCCCCTACATGACTTACACCACTTTTAGCTGAACCAATCTTTCATATAATATTTCATTTGCAGATGTGGAATGTTTATTAATATTCTCTACCCAGTTACTATAACATATAAATACTATTATGCCTGCTTCGGAAAGTCCTAGAGGAAGATGATTTGCAATTTCGACTAGGCTATATCTTGAGCAAACAAAACCCCCTACATGACTTACACCACTTTTAGCTGAACCAATCTTTCATATAATATTTTACAAAGGTACTATACGTGTTAACGACCAATTTTCCACTTTTGAGAGATTTTTTAGTGCTGGTGGCTGAGGAATAACTTTCATATTGTTTCAAAAGGCTTGAGACGTTACTGTAGTTCTTTTTATAATGTAGAAGTACACCGATTGCAGGAAACGATGATGTCTGACATTTTAATGTATCTAGAAAAGACAATTAGTTTTTCATTAGGCCTAATGTAATGTAATGGACAACTCTTTCTTTTTTAAGGAATATCTAAAGATTTTTAATTTTATACCCATTGATTATGTAACCTGAACAGGTGACTCAAAGCAGTTTTAAAATAATGATTGTTCTGTGGAACTTTTGATTGTTTCAAACAGTTTTGCTTATCAAATAACCTCAAGTAATTAATATATAAAAAAATATACAGTCACTAAAAATCACGAATAATTTATTTTTGTAAAAAATACAACCGACTTCAAAACGCTCTAAAAAGAATGAAATAATTTTAATAAAGTAAACTTTTGAATTAGGCAAGCTCACGTTTTTCAAGTCGGCGCGGCTCAAACTGCAAATATGATTGAAATTAAATATTGTGTGTGTATTTTGAAAATCAATAAATTGTAGCTGGATAACATAAATATATAAAAAACATACTGAACTGTTTTGTTTATATATTAAAGGAAATATTTTCTTGTATTTTATGTTTACTTCAGAATAGATGCATTATGAAAATAACACACACAAATGTTCTATATGAATAGGAAAATAATTTAGTTTGATATTATGATAGGGAAAAGAAGCTAGTTTAGTATTAAAACGTTACTTTTCCAAGTTAGAAACATTTAAATGCGTTATAATCTTTTTAAAGATACTCGTTAATACCACTATAATGCCGATCTCTGATTACGGTAATAAAATAACACTTAACGCATAACTATGAACAAGAAATGCAGATTAACACCTTTAGTTATAGATAGATAGTCACCTGCAATATGGACACCCTCTTTCAATTTTGTATAAAAAATCATCATAGAGCCGCGCCGACTTAAAATACGTGAGCTTGCCTAATACAAAAGTTTACTTTATTAAAATTATTTCATTCTTTTTAGAGCGTTTTGAAGTCGGTTGTATTTTTTACAAAAATAAATTATATACTTATAGATAAACAAGTTTAGTTTTTTTGGGATTCGTAAACAACACCAGCTCATTTTGGTGTTAAATTAAATCCTATATTTTGTCATTGCCGAATTTAATTTCGTCCGTATCACATGTAAGTGAATCGCGTACAGTAGACGACGACGCATATAGTTGCGTCATTGCAACAATTTGGATTACTAAAGAAGCAGGTAAATTTATATTTCTTGGAAGTCAAAAAACGCCACCACTGTCCTATCCATTCTGTTCTAATTTTGAAAAAAGAAGGCACTATCCTAAACCCCGTCAGAGTTTAAAATTTTTTAAATTTTATATTTTTAGACCTTTGTGTTTTCTTCTCTAAGCTTGGACTATAACATTTCTCAGAACTCAGTAAACACCATCACAATCCTATATCAATCATGTTCTATTTTGGACAGTACAAAGAATAAAACAATCCTAAATCCGGTCAGAGTTTCATTATTTATTTAGTTTTGGTCGATGTGTAAATCCAAATCTTTATACTTTATTTTGTTTATTACATTACAAAAACCATATTAGTATTTAGCATGTTAGGCGTATCAGAATATTATTATCAATCATCATTCATTCATAGGGATATGTCTTATCAGTTCATCATCTCATTTTATTCAATTGTTGTGAACATATTTTAATCATACTGTTTGTAAAAAAAATACTCTGTACCGGTAATCATTTTAAATTATAGCAATAGTCAAATAGTTAATAGTACACTTAAAGGGAGGAGGAAGTTGGAGAGATTGATTGTATTTATTTTAGTTCATCATACCAAAATGATATCATACAGTCCACTCCT